CCCTGCGACAGCTCTAACATTAAACGTAGCCGTCTTGAGCTCAACCTATAATTTGTTTGTTCTGTGCCCCCTGAAGCAAGACAGCGCTTGCCATTTCAAGCAGTACTACCCAACAGCATTTCTGTTCCCGGCACAAGCCCATTTCGAAATGACTGCCGCCACAGCCCTTTCCATGAGCTATATTTTCCACTAACTGCACTTTCAATTATGTTTTCAATTCCTTCTGTACTGCGCAAACCGGAAGGTTGCAAGTTGGCTGAATGCTGCGTCACTGACCATGAGCCCCTCTTCAAGTGGGCCTGCCCCAAGAGACATGGTTTCATCCTCCAAAAGCACACGATCCCTGAATCAAGGCGGTGTGGTGGCTCTATGGCTAAGGATCTGCGCCTGTGGCTGGAAGGTTGCCAGTTCGTATCCCACGGCCGGCAGAGGAATCCTACTCTGCTGGGCCCCTGAGCAAGGCCCTTAACTCCAACTGCTCCAGGGGCGCCGTATAAATGGCTGACCCCGCGCACTGACCCCACGCTTCTCTCCCTGTCTGTGTGTCTCATAGAGAGCAAGCTGGGGTATGCGAAAAGACAAATTCCTAATACAAGAAATAGTATATGGCCAATAAAGTGATCTCTCTTAATGAGGACATTTTCATGCTATTATTGATCTCGGGCAGGAAGGGGGCATCCTGAAGAACTCTTTCAACCCAGGAACACATGCCCCCACTATTGGCATTTCACCACTGCAAAACCACCCAGAATTTAATAGCCTCACTTCTCATATCCTGGACATTTTTGCAAGTTTCGCCCCAGAAAAAGCAGTTTCAACTACGTCTAAAGAGGATGGTTTATGCTACTAAACATTTTGTGTGCATGCTTCTGATTGGATTGAGGGATGTCTGCACAGTGATGGTATTTCCAGCCTCAGTAGTCTATTTTCCATGAACTACACACACTTTCATTCCAGCTCTACTGATGTCCCTCAGTTTAGTTTGATTCAGTTCCCACTGAAGGACACAAAAAAAAAAAACATGCACACCATGCAACATAGATTTTTATTTACAAAAACAACTGCTCGTGTTTTGTTCTTCTTACGGTTCTGATGGTGTTAGATGACCAACACAGTAGACCTTATTCCTTTATAAACCACAATTTTGATCACAAACAAGTTGTGTTTTATCACCAAGAGCGTTTACGAAATGCATATCAAATCCAAAATTTCAACAGACTGCACTGAAAATGAACAGGAAAAAAAAAGTCACTTCAATCAGTAAGAATTACCAGATGTGTTTCAAATCATTAACTCAAGTTATACAGGTTAAGCTCTTGAAAGAAACAGAGTCAACAAGGCAAAAACAGCAGGAGGCAAGAAAACAAATGGCTTATAAACTGGCAGGGAGAAGACGTCACAGCAGAATATCTTCAAATAAACAAAGGATAACTTGTATGTTTCAGACCAGGCAGACAAGTGCCAAGCCTACAAGACTACAATGTGGAAATCATCCATGGAGGATAAATATAATCCATATTACTTTTTGAATCGCAGCAATAAAAAACACTTGCAAATCCTGGTTTAAAGTTAAATAATGTTCAATAAACATCATAATATGCAATTATGAAACTGTAACAAGAAAACAAATTTCCACTTGAAAGCCTAACTGCTCTTAAAGTAGTCAGATGGTGGATAAGTGTTTCCTGTTTTTCCTGCAGAACTCCACGCCGTGCCTGGCAGAGAGGCCTTCAGGTACACTCGAATGCTGAACATCCCATGGCCGCAATCAGCATAACTTAACTTCCACCGATTCCATAAAGGTGATGACTTCAGCCTGGTGCAGCAGCCACAAGGAAGGGTGCCGCCCGTGCACACTTCAGAGAGACGGAGCAGGGAACCGAATGATGACTCACGATAAGGTACACCCGTCAGACCTGTTCAGATTTACTCCGAGCAGCTCGACTGTCCTGCTGGGTCAGCCCCGATCACACGGGGCCTACCGAAGGCGGATACTGAATTGGTATCTGTGTTCCTCTTCGGGGGCGGAACCTGTGAAGGTCTCCATCACGCAGAGACGGGGGAGCTCCCTGCCAGCGCTGTCGCCCCAGGGCGGCGCATTCGCTTCCAAGGCAACATTAAAATCAATGTATAAAACATTTCCCAAACACGAGCCACAGCAGCCAAGGTTACGGATACACAAAAACTACTTTCAACAAGCATGTCTCACTAAATTATGCCCGTGAGGGGTGTTTTCTGCACACCCTTACCACCTGGCACAGAAAGTGAAAGCACCATGTTCTGCACACCGTAAGAGAATCAATATTAGCACAGAAGATAACTTGCTGGCTTTTAAGGACGCCAGTTTAGAAATGAAATCAGAGTAAGCAAAGAGTAACACTGTTACAATGGTAAGAGGGGTTTAGTCAGGACCAAGCCAAGAACTGGACGCAGGCTTCAAACAGCACAGCCGGACTGTCCAGTGGTCAGCAAAGCTGAGAGACAGCCCAGAGCTGTCCAGAGCACAGAATGGCTTGACTGTCCAGTGATCTTTAACACAGAGACAGCCCAGAGCCGTCTAGGGCACTGACTGGTCTGCCTGTCCAGCAGTCAGTAACACACAGTCCAGAGCTGTCTAGGGCACTGACTGGTCTGCCTGTCCAGCAGTCAGTAACACACAGTCCAGAGCTGTCTAGGGCACTGACTGGTCTGCCTGTCCAGTGGTCAGTAACACAGACAGTCCAGAGCACAGCATGGCCTGACTGTCCAGTGATCAGTAACACAGAGACAGTCCAGAGCTGTCTAGATCACCCTCCAACCCTCTGAGACAATGCAGGATGCCAAAAATGAGTACCACAGTTACTGATATTTAAAAAGAAAGAGTAAACAGGTTTGTACCTTGTTAAACATACTGAGAATTTTGCTGGGGGGGTGTCTGGTTGAGGTGTATCCCTTAAAGTGTTCACCACTGCTACGGGACTGTCTTTCAAGTGTGGTACAGGCTGCTTGTTTTAGCACAGCACACGTAGAACACCACTAAGAAGAGCTCCAGGTTAAATGGCAGGCAGTTCCCAGTGGGCGAAAGCAATTCAAGTCAGCATCAGTGGGACCCAGCCTCATGTTATGACATTTCCACAAAAAAAAAAACTTACTTGGTAGACCTCTACCCTTAATGGGCCGCTTGCATTTGAGAAACCTGCCCAGAACGGGGACTACCATGCAATCCCTTTCCAAAAGAACTCAAGAACTAACAACAACATAAAAGAAAACATAACTGCTGCGCCACTCGGTATGAAAACCCAGTCTACATCCTGAGGTTCGAGATGTGTCCTGCGTCAGCATGCAGGCTGCAAACGAGCAAGCGGGAGGGAGGGGGTGGGGTATTCGTCGCGGAACTAACCTCTGCGTGTTCAACTGTCTCTTGCTTTGTTTACATCTTGATCCTGTTTTATGGACACAAAAGCCGCACAGCCAAACGCCTCTATCGCTTCCGCAAAACGACGACAGCTGAAGCGTCGCGATTCCCGTTCGTCATCCCTCTGTTCGGGCTACACGTGATGAAATACATGTCGATACTGCACTCTGTCGCGTACAGTGTACGAGGCGCAGTCGGTGCGGCCAGTGGCGCCAGGTGCGGGAGAAGCCACGAAGAATCCCACAATGCCACCCGGAGCCGCGTGCCTTTGTCCGCGCGAGCCGCTCGGGGACCGGGCGCCTTTTGTTTGCTTTTATGGAGCAGACCTTCCCGTCACAGAAGCCGACCCTGAAGGGGTTAATACCGAGCTGGCGGTGGAGGAAGGGGGTCGAACTAAAATGTTGTCTGTCGCCTGAACCGTCACACACACACACTGCCATAATTTAAGACCGGGCGGACGTAGCTCCGTTTCTTCCCGCTGCCGAGCGGTTTTGTCCCAGATCCTTCAGCAAAGTAGGATGGAGATAAAAAATTAGCAACCTGCCCGCCTGGGTCTTGAATGTGACTCGCTGTGCGATACTGACGGACGAGCTTGTGCCTGGGGAGGGCCTGCCTCCAGATTCACTTTCGCAGTGAGCGAGTTTTCATGGCGATTTATCGCTTCTCTTTAGGGCAGATTAACCGCAAGGCGTTATTATTTAAAAAAATGGGGGGGGGGGAGAGAAACACTGATCTCTGAAAAAAATAGAGCAAGTATTATTCCCGATTCAGAATTTCAAAACAAAAGGGGACATTTTGAACCAAGAAGCAATCCCGCTGTACTTTACGAACCACGGTTTCACAAGCGAAAGAAGGAAATATTCAATTGTAACACCTATTCAGGCTGCTTCTACATACCCGTGTTAGCCTAATCCGCCGACTGCCGTTCAACTATAATGCCCCCACACAGGCATTTAACTTGAAATAATAAAAAACAACAACAACAAGTGCACACACGCCAGTGCAGCGAAACGTGCCCCCTTCCTTAAGAACACACAACACTCCCTTACCATCCAACAACATAACATCTGTGACTGACCGCCGTTTTAAAAACACAACACGACCACCCCAGCTGGTACAACCACAGCGGAGCGTCTGCGGTCTGAACACTTCAAAAAACCAACACAAAAACGCACATTAAAAAAAAAACCAAGCAGGACGAAGAGAGTGGTGTCGAGCACTGCCTTACACAGGCAATACCTATTCTGTCACACCGAGCCCAGCGCACTCGGCCCCTCCATCTTTATTAATATCAATGCAATGTCTTCCATCGCACTGCTTTTTAACTTTTCTCGCTCTACAAAGAGACGTCAAACTCGGCCCAAGTGCTCGGTGCCCGTGTGTTAGCCCGGGTAACGTTATCATGTTTTTTTTTTTTTAAAAGATGAACCCTCCGGGGCATTCAGCGCGCTTGACTTGGGAGGACACGGTTTCCCAGTACTGCCCAGCTCTCGGCGAAGAAAGTCCGCCCCCCCCTTCCTCCTCTCTGCCATCCCGGCCAGCGAGCCCGCACTTCTTTAAAACAAGGAGGCGGAAAAAAAAAATCAAAACGGGAAACCCAACTTACCTCCCGCGTTTCTCGCGCAGTACAAGAAAACAGCGAATTTTATCAAGAACATATCGATTAGGCTCATTGTGAGAACATGAGCTTTTATTGTTCCGATCCCACAGCTCTTAAAGGCGCAGTCGCCCCAGCGGTGATGGCAGCTCCCTCTCTCTCTCTCTCCCTCGCTCTACTCCGCGGCCTGACGTCATCAGCAGGCAGGGCCTGGCCCCACCCCCGCTCTCAGGTTACAGCACCCAGGACTCCGCGCGCAGGCTGACAGGCAGTGTCCCCGCAGATTTAAAGGGCCAGCGCACCTTTATCTTCCCGGACCAATCCGAGCGGCTTTTGCAATTAGCTTTCACCGATTCCCGTGTCGTTACGTTCACGTTATGCCGTTGTTTTGCGTTCCCTTCTTTGGTCCACCCCTCCCCCCTTTTTTGTTTTCCTCGGACGTCGTTTATGAATGTAAAATGTAAAAAGTATTGCTGTTGTTGTTTTGTATGACAAAGTAAAGCAAAGCCGCATAGTGTCAATGCGAAGTTACGTATAAATCCATCTGTCCGATTTTCTAACCGCTTCTTCCAATTCAGGGTGGCGGGCGATTGATAGAGACACACAGCACAGACGTTCAACATTAACTACGCTGGTTCAAATGAAGAAAATTGAATCTGATTTTTAAAAGTCTGTTAATTCAGGAGAATTAATTGGAAAGCAGGAAAGGAAAAGGTGTGACTTAGTGATTGTCATAATTGACATTTATTATGATTTACAGTTAATGCAACGATTTACAGTTTCAGTTAGTCTTTTAAAGAACTTGAGGCAATTCATACAGATGTAGCTAGCAATGCGAGTTGAATGCGTGATTTTGTACACCTTGCATTAAACAGAGGAGTGACTCAAAATCATAAAATATACAGGCTTATTAATTTGCTAATTGCATTTTGTGAAGACACGAAATACATACTTACAGGATGTTTACACTGTTACTTGTGTCTATATCATCCGTAAACGCTTGATATTTACTTAGTTCTTGCTATTTTATTTTTGGTGTCGAATTTCGAGGTGTTGGAAACGTGAACCCAACACATCACATCACACCACTTATCCAGTTCAGTCACTGTGGCCCAGAGCCTATCCCAGGAAGCACTGGGCACGAGACAGGATAGATAGATAAGACTTCATTGATCCCAAAGGGAAAGTGAAGTGTGATACACCTTGGAGCGGACACCTGACCAGTCCATCGCAGGGCACGTACAGATACAGACAGACCCACTCACAGACACGTGCTCACACCAGGGCCAAATTCCCCAAAGACAGTCAACATACCAGTATGTCTTTGGACTATGGGTGGTAACTCATTAGAAAAAAAAAGGAAGAGAACATGCAAACTCCACACATAGCATACCTGGACTTCTTCAAAATCCACCGTGACAGGACACAAGTAGGAACTCATTCCAAAATGAAACCAGGAGCCACTTCTTTACACAGAGGGTTGCAGGAGAATGGAAGAAGCTACCCAACTGTATGGCTGAAGCCAGAACCAGCCCTTTGGGCTGGAGGTTATATAGATGTAAAACATGATTGGGAGGAGGAATGGAAAAAAGGTTCTTTATTGTCACAGTTATTGTTTATATTGTGGTGGTGTTTCTAGGGCACTTGGGACCAAAATATGTGACAGTGGACACACCAGCACTGCTCGGGGCTTAAGAGCAACAATATTACTGAACAAGAGTAGGTCTAGGCAAAGGCATGTCATTCCAACTGTTTCTGTATATATCAGTTTGTACGTATTCTTATAAGAAATCTGAGAGCAAATACATATTGAGGTGGTAACTTGTACACACTTGTGAGAGTATATTTACAACTTGCACATACTTGTCTTTCTTATTTTATTTTACCCCAGCCTTGAAAAGCTTAAACAAGCAAACTCATCTCTTCTGTCTATTCAATTACCACACTGTATCCAGACATTTGTGTCTGTGACACAGCCTACTTATCTGCTCAGCGATTAACAAAGAGCTGTCATGACAGACGTTAATCTCGTAAATAAAAGACAGAGTACTGACTGTGACAATCACATGGAAAGATGTGTACGTTTACAAATAGCATATGTCCAGCAGAGTGAACAGCACTGAGTTCAGTACAGAGGGACATGTAAGCTATTGCCTCACTTATAATAAGCTGAAAACAAAGAAAAGCATCGAAATTTGAGTTCAGAACTAGCGACGTCGAAAATCAATTGTGTTAAAACATCAACTTGAAAAATGCCAGCACCAGAAAACCTGGTCCCATTCTGTTCAGCCTGCGCCACATAGCGGCCGGACATTGAACTGCAAGGCAATCAACTCTGAAAAAAGAGGTTAGAGGGGAGGCAAACTCGGTGTTTCACCGATTTTCAAAATAGCTTAAATAATATTATAAACGCCAAAATTTAAAATAAGATAGCGAGGAAAGTGAATCTTAACAGTCACAAGATGGATTGTAAAGAATGGTAACCCATGCTAGTTTCAGATTTTTACAGACTTATTTTTATTAGAACATAACTGATTAAAAACATCCTGTTCAACATCTCATGCATTTCGTTTCCGGGTATTTCCGATAGGGAGGTTTTGGAGAAATTCGTGGACAGGCCTTTTTTTTTTTGTCCTAGCAATCTTTTATAGTGCTTTTCCCAGTGCAGCGCGATTAAGAGAGTTCTGGGAAGGGGGCCTTAGCCGGGAGTCGCACCTGGATGAGTGCTACTGTACGCGGGCTCTTCCCGCTCGCTACTGTCTGCTGGGAACGCGATGTCAGCGATTTGTTTTTGTTTCCATATGTATTAATACAGTGTTTAACACAAAGAAAGTAGGATACACACACTTTGGATTCTGTTGGGGTCCCATGTCCTGTCTAAATTTAACAATGGTCAACAATTTGCAAAATGTAGTCCTATCATTACAAGGAGCACCTAATATATTTGGGAGACCGATTTGAAACACACAGAAAACGGCGTTCTCCTTTTTATTCTCCTCGACCTAAGCGAAAGAACAAAGAAGCACACAGTCTCCCTGTCCTTTATTATCATTGTCTTTTGAAATAAAATAATTCAGCCGTTACATGTAAACCATTTTAATGTAACGCCACCCCCCACCCCCTTAAAAAAACCCATAATTAAATCACGCGTCCCAGCAAGTGAAAGCTCACGAGCATTCAGAATGGAGACAGAGTTGTCCAGGGGCTTCTGTTCTGACGAGTCTAGGCTGTCTTCACACACCTGGACTGGGGCCCGGAGAGTCTGGCTTTGACACGAACGGGAACAGGCCCCCGCGTCACCGACAGTGCTAGCGGACGAACCGAGGCAGCTGAGCGACGACAAAGGTGACTGGAGCCACTCTGTGTGCTTAGCATACTACATTGTATACGGTGTGTTTCTCAACCAACACCTTCTGTAGGAAGTGCAGTATGGCGTCAGTATTAGTGTAGCTTGTGAATAGGGTATAGACGAGGCCTCTCGTGGTTACATATCTTGTTACACTTACATTAAATTATAAGCTGTGATTTATCAGTATTCCAGCTCTGGTATTGACGTGCATGTATTCTTTTCACAGTATTCTTTAAAGGGGCAGCACTTTGACTAGTTAATAATCCAATAGCGACAGAACCTGGTCATTTAGTGCTCAACTGGACTGAGAACCTGCTGCTATCATGTAACAAGGGATTATTAAACTTTCTACAGGTGATGGATGCACTGTTAATGACCACAGCCTCCGCTGTTACCCCGCTGTTTTGATGGGCTTTAAGTTGGAGCCTAGATAAATAACTGGGTTTTTAAAAATTATTTCTGCCTCCTCGGTTCCCCGATCTGTGTCTCTGGGTCACAGCCAGAGTTGGCCGTGCACCCACGCGTGTCAGCGGTGTTTCATCGCACCCACCGCTCAGATCTGTTCCGGCTTCTCTCTCTCGTTCTGCTCCTGCGAGAAGCCAGCCTGTCACACGCCGTGGCTGAAGCTTTCCAACCCACGCGAAGGTACACACACCTTGAGGCATGGGCAGGATTGAACAATTACCCTTAAACAGAAGGACATGGATGTGCAAATTGAATGTTAATCCTTTGCTAATTCGATCCTAAGCACAAGCAATGCAATTCATTAAACGTGCGTGCATGTTGAATGTTTTCGTACTAATACTTTTCATTATGTAGATTTTCCAACTGCCACTCTCTTGTTAATGATTGTACCACTGTAATTGGATTTTCCCTCAATCAAGAGACGTCATGCTGTTCTGTTGCTCTCTTGGTCTGGCAACTACAGATCGCTTATTTAATGTCGGTCTGGGGTGCGTTAAAGTCACGTCCGAGCTAGTAATGATCATTTGGTGTTAACAATCCAAAAGATGTGCAAAAATGAAATATCTCAATAGCAGGAAAAAAATAAAACATTCAACGCTTTTACGTTTTATTAAATGATAATAAAAGATCACTATTCTTGCGTTGTGTAAGAGAAACAACTGTGCAGATTTAGTCATGTTACCCAGTCCACGCATTCATTAGTTTGTGTACATGGACGGACAGCTATAAAAATCTTCCGTTTCAAAGTCCCCTCTAATTATGCGGCCAGACGGCAGCTCTGCTAATTGCTCATCTGTGACACAATCCAACAAAGCAAGCTGTTGTGGTGACACGGACTACGCCTGCTGGGTGGGCGGAGAATCGGCCCAAATAAGATAATAAGAAAAAGACAAAACTTTATTTTACCCCTAAATATCATTGCTTTTTACAACATGCACAGTCTATTCTTTCCTTTGGGATACATTAACTTCTTTAATAAAGCCCCGGCCGGTGCTATAGCATTTTAGAAGTACTGGCGTATTTGAGCAAAACGATTGAACTGTATCATAATGCCTATTCTAAATCTACGGTGCACCTGTGTGAAATTGCGTTCACAGTACGATGTCACAAATGCGAAACTACGCGCTTCTTTCAGCCAATTCATTTCCGTCACTTACAGTAATTACACGTGGGCGCGGCATGCTGCGCCTATTTCAATACAGCGCCGTTAGCTAACACTGCCCCCTTCTGCTTTAGACAATTGCCGCGTTAAAAAAATAAAAAAAGACTTAGAAATACCGGACGCTTATTTTATGATATACCCCACTTCCAAACTAACTTGTGCTCCATTTTCATAAATGGTGGGCCGACGTTTCCAGGCCCCTGCGCCTTTAAGAGCTGTCAGCTGTGTGTCAGGAGCACTTCCTGTAAAAAAATAGGCAACCTGGTCGGTTTGATTATTTTATTGGGTGTAGATTGCACTTGGTGTCCATTATGAAACGTACAGAATACTGTTATATATACCGGTGTATCAGAGTTTTGTGTTTGGACACGGAGAAATAGATGTCACTGCCTGCTTATTTGTTTTAGCTGGTGAATACGTCTCGTTCCTAAATATTTACACAGAATAAAAATGCAAATACCGTTTTTTTCCTGATATATTTTAAAGCAATGACCCTGGGAGTACCCTGGTTTTAGAGGCAGATTATTTAGTGTTTTTAGTCCCCCAGAACCCCTCCTAAATATGTTTGTCTTCTCTATTATTTACTATTGCCCTTCCTCGACCTGAAGAGGCGTTTCTAAAGCCGTGACGTCGGGTAGGTAGAGATGTCATGGCGTCTGTGGATCCGGACCTGGAGCTGCAACTCTGATAAAGACTGATTCGTTAACGGGAGTCGGAATGGAAACAAATGCAGACCTGCATCGGGAAATCGGAGGTGGCATTCCTTGCTCAAGCAAAACGGGAGAAATGACCGACAGCAAAGCAGTCGATGGTCTTAAAAGCGCAGCCGAGGGCTGCAAGGATACTGGTGTAGCTTCTGCCCCTAGTACTTTGGCTAGTAGTGACAGCAGCACCACTGCTACGACAAGCTCACCCAAAGCTTCCTCGGGTAATCGGAAATCAGAAGGTGGTTTTGAAAATTGCGAATCTGTCCCGGTTCGAAACACTGCGGTCCAGTCTAACACTGGGTTGGATAACGCGGATTCTGGCGAGCAGCTGAGCAATGGGCTGGGACAGGCTCTGCCGGCGGATCCCGACCGTGACGGTGATGGTGGCACTACAAAGTTGGTAAATAAGACGGGTGGCCCTCCTTCCGAGCACGTAAAGCCGGCTTCGGAAATGACAGGCGATCAAAAGGCTGCCGGGCACGGAGCGTCGCCGGAGCGGTCGAAGATGTCGCCCCCGACAAAGCTTTGTCCGGACAAAGCGAGTTTGATCAAAGCACGGTTGGTATCCAGTGAAAATTTGGCCGAGGAGCCGAGTGGGAGTGAGCCCAGCCCCCCAGGTGAAACGCAGAGCATAGATTCCCTAGAGTCCTTCTCCAATCTCAACTCCTGTCCCAGCTCAGACCTCAACAGCGAGGGGGCCGAGGACAGGGTGCTGGCTATTGCGCTACAGAGCGACGAGTACGGGGCAGGAGATGCTAAGCTAGCCGCGTTCAGTAAGGATCGCACCGCCGGCCAGTCCATATACCACATCAAGTGGACCAAGTGGAAGGACGAAAACACCCCGATTATCACTCAGAACGAAAACGGGCCGTGCCCCTTGCTTGCGATAATGAATGTCCTTTTACTGGCGTGGAAGGTAAATAGACATCATGAATAATAAAGCACAACAACTATAGTAATAATAATAGCGGAGTTGTTTCACTAGATTTTTGCTTTCGTTGTGGGGAGAAGGAGCATAAGATCCTGATGTTTTTAAAGTTTTTTTTTCCACACTCTCGGAAAAATACCATCAACAGTTTTTTTCTTTCTGTAGCATGGGTTACCAAACTGGGAGGGAGGGAGGGGAACTCGGGAGCTGACCCCGTTCAGGAAGTGTCATTTCCTTTCTGATAAGTCCTGAAAAAAAAAGTGAGCTGGTCTAAGTCGACCATGATGCACAAAGTTTTTCAGACGCTTGTTTGAAGTATGTTATTATTTTGTAAATCTGTTGACTTTCATCTCTCAATGTGTGCGTTTTATTTATGTACAGTCATACACCTAGTACTCTTTCACTAGACAAATATTGTAGGTGGGTCTTCGTAAGAGCTTGTGGCTAACGTGTTAATATACAATGCTAATTAAGGGAGTGTTATAACCGGCTCTGCCTACTCCTACTCCACAGGGTAAAGCTGAGCTATTTTCTGTTTTTTTTTAAGATAGCTTTCTTTGCTTTGTAGACACGCCTTAGCTAATCCGTGAGTAATATAAGACTCGATTACACAGAGGAAGACAACCCCTGATGATTGGAGGTCTCCCAGTTTTGCAGTGACCGTGCAGTTTTCTGGAACTCTGCTAATCATGTAGGGTAGACATGAATTAGTGGTTTGCGATGGTATTCTGATTACACTGTAACGTTTTTTGGTCTTTTTTAAACAGGACATATAATCCAATCCAGGATTTTTTCAGTTCTAGGGTGTTTTTTGTTCCTATTTTACGGGGGGTATGAATGAATCTAGAGGGAACTCTAAATGTCTGTGCCGAGCAGAGAACCCGTTAAAAGTGTTATAAGATATAAGTGTCTCTTGCAATTTGCTGCTGTATTGAACCTGAGCTGCTTTGCATTTTAAAGTCAGATGTTAACCGTCTTTGAGATAAGATAGTGGTGTGTATTTGGAGCTCTAAAGAAACCGATCTGATATAATAGTACTCAGTTTTCCAATACAAAATAGAAAGTGCTGAAGCAGTTCTGTAGCCTCCCTGTTACTGATTTACAGAGGCTCCTATCCAGGTCTTTAGACTCTTGTTTGGCTGGCTGAGGCCTCAGGTTTTTGTTGAGTTATTTCAGTTAATTCTGGGTACTGCATGGGCCCCCAGTTTGATCAAATCCTCTTTTTCTCAATAAAAAATGTGACGCTCATTAGCAGAAGGTCCAATGTGGAAATGTTTTTCAATGAAAGGCCTTCAGAACATAAGAAGTAGTGAAATGTACTGGACTTGTCCACTGATATTAAGGAAGAGCTGCTGTGTGGGGCCACAAAGGTATACACTTGGCCAAATGGAGCTGAAATGTTTTACGTTCTTTATTGAAGACCGGTTTTACAAAGAAAGATGGGGGATAAAAGGTCATACTGGCAGTTTTCCCAGCTATGGTACTGCCTATGTCCATGTTGCATCCTCCAAATCTTTCATGAAATCATGGAATAAGGAGCAGCAGGCACTGTGAAATCAGAGATATGTGGAAGAGGGATCAGCTTTTGTCTAGCCCAGCAGCCCAATGAAGTTTCCCTGGAATCTCTTTTTAAAGGCAGAAAGCAACTAAATTCAAGAGACAACACAAGTCTTAAAGCCCCCCTATCCACTTGCAGCTTGTCGTGAGAAGATCTTGCTCTTACAACAACAACAACTGTAAGACAGATCTTGGCTGCAGTGAATATTCATGCATGTTACTACCTTTCAAGCAGTATTAAACACTGTAACCAAACCAGGATACATTCATCTTTGTGGTTCATACCTTTTAGTTTTATTTTAATGGTTTTTCCCTGTTTTTGGTACAGATCATTCCTTACATTTCGCTGTGCTGTAGCAAACCCATCTCTTTTAGCACTGTGCCCTTGGCAACGCCTATCATTCTACTTCAGTTTCTTGGATTCTTTTTCACTAATAAGTGTTTCTGCATCAAAGCCAGCAACTACATCTGCAGCTGAGTCTCTCCCTTAATTTACATTCGAAAGGTAGTATTTAATTACTGTCTTTGAGGGTTCGCTGGCTATAGATAATTTGTTTCACACTACAGTCTGGTTTCTGTCTGCCACTGAATTCAGTGCAGTGCTAAAGATTCATTAAAAGTGACACATTTGCTGTGAAAACGAACACAACATGTTTGGGACAGATTCTAAATTGATAGATTAACAGGAAAAGCAATGGGAAACATTGCTTAATTATAGACCCTGCTTTGTCCAGTTTCCCAGTTGTCTTTGTTAGTAAAGATTCCAGTTCAAATAGGTAACTTAACAGTTCAGTTAAAAAAATTCTGAAATTGTATTACTAAATGGATCGTCATAGACAATGAGGCACTTTCTTGGTATCAGCTTTGTATATGTGTTGGCAATCAAGTCCTGTGTAAATCGCTACATGAGCATTTGAGCCTGTATATAAAAAGCACCGAAAGACCTAGAAGCAAATTTATTTTATACTGAATTTTATGCGGATACACTAAGTCAGTTTTGAAAAAGACAACATTGCTTGGAGCTGTCAATTTATACAATTAATGTCTTGATAAATAGGAATGATTGCAAATATCAGCCCTGTAAAGCACTCCTGTTGTGAATTTGTAGTTTGAGTTATAGATATTATTGTAAGAGAAAGTATTTGAATTATTTGTGGTTTATTGTATTCCTCATTTTTAAAATTGGCAAGTTTTGGTATAAAAAAAAAAGTTTTGGTATAAACTATTGCTTTAAATATTTTCCTTAAATATAGCCTTTGGTTTTCTTGTAGGTAAAGATGCCACCAATGATGGAAATTATTACAGCTGAACAGCTAATGGAGTATCTAGGTAAGCAGAGTACAGATGAATATTACTTGTCTTCATTTGCATGTCAAAATTCAAATGTGAAAGGGGGTTTTAAGATGACTGTGCAGTGGTGCAGTGGTAGGCATTGCTTCCTCGCAGATCTGGGGCTCTGGGGTAAATTTCAGACCTGGGGTGCTATCTGCTTGGAGTTTCTATGTTCTCCCCCCATTTCGCATGAGTCTCCTCTGGGTGTTCCAGTTTTCAGGTTATTTGGCTCCTGGGAAAACTGGCCCTGGTGTGTGTCTGTGTCTGTGCTGTGATGGACTGGTGTCCCATCCAGGGTGTATCCTGCCTGGCGCCTGTTGCTTGCGAGGATAGGCTTCGACTCGCTGGCAATCCCTGGTAGAAAATATGTGGATGGATTTAAGATTCTGCACAAGTTTAAATAAGATAAGATGGATATTGTACTTTTATCTCAGAATGAAGAATAAGGTGAGGCAGTGATTGTTGACTATATTTTACCAGAGGAGAGTGCAGGACTATTTGCTTTTGTTAACAATGAGTGCAGCTGAACTTCCTTTCCTTTTTTAGGGCTATGTCATTTTTCCTTTTTCTAGTTAGTTCCTTGGGTTTTATTTTTTGCTGCACATTTAAAAGATACAATTTGGCATCCTGCAAATATTGAAATATCCGTCTGGAACTGCAGTTTTGAGTTCTGTCTTATAGCCTGTTGTGTCGATGTCCTCGGACATTCATGTCACGGATGTCATGTCTGCATCCTGTGCAGTCCATCGGCGTTCGTTTTCCCTGTCCTGGGCAAGGTTGTGACCCAGCTCGTTGAGTAGGGACGCAACACTCCTTAGGTCCTCCTCAGGGGCCGCCTGGTTCTCCGGCCTGCCAAGAGAGATGGCATGTCCTGTGTTAGTGTCCAGGTCTCTGCCCAGAGAGATCTTCCAGGGCACAAGGTGCTTGTCCACATGTGCTTGTCTGGTCAGCCAGCCCGTGTAAGAGCAGTTCTGGGCTGGCAGAGTCCACTAGCTGAACCTAATTACAAGTCGAACTGTGGTAATTATGTGCCTTGCTATCTAGTTGCTTCTAATTAGCCCAAAATAAGGAGAAATCGGTTGAAAAGCCTCCTCTTTAACTCTTAGTGGAGTTAGGGTTGTTCCTTTCCTTCCGGGGGTTATTTTTAAACGAATACAATTTCCATGTAGAACCAAAGCTCCTCTGTCCTAAATTCCACAGTGGCATCGGCCGAGAAGGAATAGATTTAATCGTTTTATCCTATAGCCATTGGCAAACACCGCCAGCCACAGGAAGAAGGAAAAACAGGCCAGAAAGGCTTATGGGAAAATAAGACTCTGCGTTTGTGATCTACAGAAACTCTATTGAGTTTGTCATTCCTGACTGTGGGAGCTTTGTAATTGATCTGGTCCCAAGCTTTGAAAACACACGGTGTTCTGTTAGTGGTTTGGGAAATCCCCTTCACTTATCTTATTTATCTGTTTGGCTCTTACCGGTCTAGGGTCCTTGGCCCACTCTTAACTGAGAGGACGTCTTGCGTTACACTTATTATTCTCGTTTCCTCGAGTGTGTGGTTTGTTAGATGTTCAGGTAATTGGGAAGAGAAACTGGGGAGGAAAACGGTGACTCTCATCGTTGGCATATGCTGAAATGAAGACGTCGGCTGACGCTCTTTTTCTTCCCTGTTGATTTTGAATCTGTGGTGGAGAAAGCAGAGAGGGCAGCTTGAAGGCTCAGCAAATGAGGAAATTAATTTCACAGAGACACGAACAGATGATAAGATAAAAAAAAAAACTTTAGCCACAAATTAAACAGAGCTGCACTGTACACCCAGAAGAACAAAAGGTTGATGTTCAGAGTCCTCTGTGAGCATGCCTGTCTGCTTCTTGTATTTGGGTCAGTAATGCAAGGCCACAAAGCTGTACAAGGACTGGCTGCTTTGGTGACAGAAGAGAGACAGAGCAGCAGACCCTGATATCTGCTGGAGAATTGTTCCAGCATAACAGCTTTGCTCAGGCCTGTACGAATGAGTCCTGTTCTTGCCGATATGATTTGGAAACCCACTGTGTATGTGATAAAGACCTTGGAACAGCCTGGTGTCAGATGGTTGCGTGAGAGGGTTTGACAGCTAGCATGTCAGGCTCCAAGGAAAGCAAATGTGGAGAACCGTTCAGCCAGTGTCGTCAGGGCGACGGGAAGGTCGTTGTTTTCTCTTCCAGATCTTCTGGAGCAGAGGGAGGCTGGAACTGTTTTGGAGCTGTTGCTCTAGGTCAGTTGCACCAGTGCAAATCTCAGGGAAGTCCCCTGGCAGGCCGTGGCTGCTGAGCGAGAAACGAGAGACTGCTGTCTCCCAGTTTACGATGGGCGTCGGTGCTGTAACCTGAGCCTGGAGCCCTCTGGAGTCTCCCCCTCTCGCCCGCCTGGGTCCTGTACCAGCTCCAGGGAAACAAGCAAGCCTCCTGGCAGGACAATTACGAGCTCTGCTGGAAGTGATACTGACACAGCAGAAAACAGTGGATTAATGTTATTTTTGCTCTAGGCTTCTGTCTATGCAATATTTAGGATTTAGAATGATAAAAACTGCTTTAAATACACAGCATCATGTGTTGGCCTAATATTTAAGATACGACGGCTTGTAAAACTTGGAGTGAATCAGTCTGCTTTGCAGTTGGACTCTGGCTGCACCGAAGCCAATCAATTTCCTAAATTAGGCTTTGTTTCTCTTCACAAAGACTGTATCATCGTCGGCTGCTGTGAAGTGACTGTTTCATCAAAAGAGTGACTGACCATGAAAACGGCAAAAACCGATTGAGTGGGATGCTAAATTATCTGGGGAGAGGGCAGTCCTTTCTCACACAAGCCTGTACAGTTGACAGTTTTGAACAAGGTCTGGTGAACCGACAGAACCTCTCTGATGTGATGCATTGTGGGTCAGAAAAAGAATTGCCATGGACCAGAGCAAAAGCAAGTATTTTTGTACAAATTGGATGGAAACTGATGAAAAAAACAGGCAGTCTAGCAACAGGAGGTGAAAACTGGTATAGTAACTGAACAACATACAAAATGCCTGAATACCTACTATGTTCTCAGCAAGATCCATAATCAAAACACTGAAAATATTTAGGCTAGAACTTGTTCTGCCTTAAAAAGGTGGTGCCAGTGATTTTATAATCTCTTTACCCATCCTTTCAGTAACCTGTGCCATATTTTATTTGTGCGCATACGAGAAGCATGGATATAAGTTGGCTAGAATGATGATAGGCCACAGAATTACAAAACCAACCTCTCCCCCCTCCCCCCCTCCCCCAGCAAAAAACGTGGCAGTACAATAGCCAGTCATTTCTAATGATATTTCCTATTTATAGTAGCTCAAACTGAGTTGCAGTGTAGCAGTCTGGCCCCTACATTGTGAAATCAGCACAGAGCTCTCCACAGCTGTTTCAATTAAATACAAATATAACTTTATTGTGTACCAGCAGAAGAGGGCACAAATGGCACCTGGCAGCAAGGTGGGGTGTTTCACCCAAGACTAGGATTGCTCAGAGCTCATCCAGGGCTGAGTTCCATGCCAGGCAGATTCCTGCTCTCTCCAGATCGGACGATGAGCTGAACAATGGCGTACAGGTGCTTATTCGCTGAGGATTTTCCCCTCCCGCTGGCCGGGCTTGTAACTGTGAAGAGCTCCCGCTGTCCGGAGCACAGAATTCCATATGAGGTTCCTGGGCAGTGCCTGCTTGAGATTCCGGGAGCCACCTAGCTGTATTCCTCGGATCTCTCTGAGGTCGATCCTGGGTCTGGAGTTTGCCGTGCCGCCTGCTGTGGTACAGGTGTTCTCTGATTCGGACAGTCCGCTTGTAGGTCATAGGGTGCTTCTTGATTCAGTTTCTGGGTGTAGCTTCTCCGCCGATTCCAGAAAGCCAGGTATTTCCCTGTCTCAGTACACAGGAAAAGCATCGCTGACTGAAGTACTGACATCACTTTCCATGGTGAGAGAAGGAGCACGTCCATCTGCTCATCGTAGATGAGTGATCATGAAATAACAGATGTGATTGAAGTCAATCAATCCTGTGGTTTACTGTTAAATGTTTAGAGAACATATTTCTGGCATAAAAGTCTTTGAAATATTTCTACCCAGAATATAAATATACAGTAATACCTGGTGCACTGGAGTAGTGTGGCCTGCGGCTGAACACATCTCTGCTCTAATGCGGCTGTTGTTGATAGATTAACATCTTCATCTGCAAACTGGCATCCTCACATTGTTTTCCCCATTGTTAGAAGGGAAGTGCACGCACAGTGGATCTCTATAAGCATACAAGCGATGGATTTATCTCAGTACTGTATGCGTGTTGATCTCCTAAGCCCTTTAGTAAAAGGGAATTATGGTAGAACAGCTAGAGTTCGTAGGAGTTCAGTGTTTCCTTACCCCCAAAAAAAACTCCAATAAGAAGTGCCTCAGGTCATATAGATGTTTGTACTTTCAATCCACTGAATTTAAGGACAGATATTTTGTGATACATTCCATGTAGAAATATCTTTGACAGCGGAAAATGGGATTTCTCCTGGCCTGAGAGGTTCAGCTGGACAAGAAACGCAGGCCAGGGAGGCCCAGTCCAGCACACAGCCAGGGAGCAAACTGGCTTCCTGGCTGCAAACAATCCTTTTTAACTGAGGTGGACTGCAGGCAGATTTAAAGCTGAAATTATTATTTTCATACTGAAATTGTGCACATCAGTGTGATCAAATTTATGACTAGATTGGACGTTTAATCTACTAGCCTCCAGTTACAGCGTTCCAGTAGCCTGACGTGCTATGAATCAAAGTGAAAAACAGTGCCACTTTCAGATAAAAACTGCCTTAATAGTCCCGGATGTGTAAGCTGACAAGGACATGATCTCTGGGCAGCTGTCAAGAGGGCCTCTCCTTTTTAAATACAGTTTCTTCATCGTGTTAACATGTTCTAGCTCTAGGCCTCTTTCTTTGAGCACGCCAAGGTAACTGTGCTGAAGATTCACAGGTTTTTACACTCTACGGCAGATGCATTATTTGATTTAGTAAAAAAAAAAACTTTCCATTCAATTTAAAAATGTTCTGAATGAAATAATAAGTCCTGCTGTTGGGGTAACTAGATAAGTAGGCTGGTAACAGGTGCAGTGAGGTGAGCCACTGGGTTGGTCGCCCCCCCCCTGTGTCCCACTCTGCACTCTAAAGCACAGTAAGGAGTGTGAGAACAGGTCACCTCCACAGGAGAAGTGATATGAATTTGCCCTTTTCCATCTTAGCACTTTCTTCCCAACAGAAAGAGGATCTTCACATCTGAAACCAGTTAAGGCATTTCAGGAAAAGTGGCAACGCGTGACTTTCTCACATCGGGACGGATTTGGCAGGAGTCTTAAGAACAAGCAAAACATTTTTTCACAGATGCTGACATGAGAGTGATAAGTTACTTCCCATGCATTTTTCCAAAGAAAATTACAGCGCCCTCTCCACTGGAGGCTCAATAGAAAAGAATTTATACTCGTCACCCAGTCAGGCCTCCTCCCTGCAGTCAGTCTTACTGTGTATTTCTCATTCTACAGGAGACTACATTCTTGAGGCTAAACCGAAAGAGATTTCTGAAGCTCAGCGGCTCAACTATGAGCAGGTAAAGGCTCTAACAACGTCTTGTCTTCACATTGTTTATAACGGGGAGTTTCTTGTTTTTTGTTCAAATGAAAATATTCAGGCATTTAAAATGGAGACCGGGATGCACGTCTTGTACGCAGAAGGTTATAGAAGTATGGAATAAGGTATCCAGCCCTGCAGGTGAAGCCAATAACTTGGCTGCTTTCAGGAGGTGGCCGGACAAGATCCTTAGGTCAATAAGCTAGCTATCAGACAGGTTGGATGGGCTGAATGGCATCCTTTCATCTGGAACCATTCTCGGTTTCATCTGTGTGTATTCTTGTCTGCTGCAGCTGTGCTATATGTATGTAAAGATATTACACACACTGAATCATGCTTTATGGTACCAATTGAAAAGTCTGCAAAGTGTACTGAACATGAGGTCCATCTCCCTACGCAATTCAAAGAACACTGTGCACTGCTGAAATTCGCTGGCAGACTATTTGTATTCTTGTACTCAAACCTGCCTTTGAATAATTTAAGTACGTAGCTTTAAAACCAGAATGAGAATGATTAATCCAGACAGTCCTGAGGCTGCCGAGTGGCCGAATCGGTAAAGCTCGCTCACTCCGCTGGCAGGCTGAGCTCTATGATCCTAGTGTCTCCAGATCACAGCGGTCACCGACTGGGGAAAAGACTTGTTCCAGCGGGAGCAGTCGAACAATCGTCTGGACACTCCCTGGTATTGTGGCGCAATGGTGAGCAACCCTGGGGCCCTGGGTTCAGTTCAGGACCTGGGGTGCTGTCTGCGTGGAGTTTGTATGTTCCCCTCAGGGTTTGTGTGTTAGCCCTGGCGTGCGTGTGTGCATATGTCTGCCCTGCGTCCTGTCCGGGGTGATCCTGCTTTGCACCCAGGGCTTCCTAGGGCAGGCTCCCGGAGTCGCGGAGCCCCGGAATTGGAAGAAGCAGTTCCTGAAAGTGACATAATGTAACAAAAACTGGCGATTCCAAATGTTTTCCCATGGTTTACCAGAATGTCTGGCACATTCTTTAGGCCTAGCTTTCGGATTTATCTCCTACCTGATGCGTGTACGGAGGGAGTCAGTGGGCTCTTCTGATGCCGATGTCCTCACTGTTCGGAGATCTCCGCGCCTTGCCTCACTGCTATTCAGGGGAAACCGAGGAGAGCATCCTCGGCTAGCCTGAGCTATGTGTGGGACCCTCCCCTGAGTGCAGTTGTGCCCCAAGATGGTGCATCCGTGAGGATGTGAAGAACGCGAAAACATTTCCGCCTGTTTCTGTTCCCGTCCTTGAAGAATCAGTTAATCCTGCTGGGAATAGAGGGGCGGTCAAGCTGGGCGGAGAGTCTTCAGACTGCCGAGGTTCTTTATCTGGTGAGGGGGCTCTTTGCTTGCTTCATTAGGTGCAGACAGCGAGCACTCAGAATAACAGTCAGCTGTGAACACATATACAGTGTAGGAAGGCTGAAGCCCCCATCTGTTTCTGGGAGTCTGGATTTAGCATTGCCAATGTAGGACGCCGTGCTTACGAGCCTCTGCAGAATCTTGCCAGCCTGAGACTTGTTTATCCAAACACACGCAATGTCGGAGAGGTTTCTTAGGGAAATATAACTGATTTTCCTGCTTATCTGCATCACTTTGGGATGTGTATCTGTCGAGATTAAGGGAATAAACACAGCAAGTATGAGGGAAAAAAAGCACTGAAGACAACTGAGCCAGATCTGTCCAGGAGCAAACTCAGTTTGTCACAGTGGAGAGTTATGTGGAAAAAGGCTTGCCTATTTTAAATTTTGGTCTCATGAGACACTTGACAAGATTATTAATTTTCATTGATCTTATATACGAAAACACATTTCCTGTTTTCTTTAACCACAGCCGCTTTCAAGAATACATTTGCTGCTTATTACTTTATTTCTGGCTGGGCTTAGAAGAATGGTTGTGTTCTGTGATGTTTTTTTGCCCTGTTTCTTTTTTTGTTCCGAAGGCGAACTGTGGGCGTGTCGAGTCTCTGAGGCTGACCGCTGTGGTCTAGCAGTGTGAGGTGGTGGAGTATCCAGTGTGTAATTTTACAGTAATGCAGGGCGTGGCGGTGCCCGAGAAGGTCATGGTGTGGGATTGCTGGAAGGGAATCAGCAGATGTTCCTCCTCAGTCCAGTGGCAACAGAGGGAGCTGGCCGGGGGGGGCAGGAATGGGGAGGGAGCAGGCTGGGAGGGTTGGGAGGGGAGCAGGATGGAGGATCTCATAGGGCTTTTTCTATTGCCTTCATCTCATTATTATTACTCACTATTTTTGCAATGCAGCTGCAATAAAGTCTCTGTTCTGCTCTTTTATAGTGTCCTACAACTTGCACATGTGACAAAGCATACCTACCTGGATGTATGCTGAGCTTTTAATATTTTAATTTTTGGTCCAACGTTGGCAGAAGCTTCTGCTGCATGTTTATACAGCCCTGGGAAGAAGAGGTTATCCAGTCTGAGCTGTTTAAGTGGGGCACACAGAATATTCTTGCAACATACACTCATGCACTCATGCACATAATGACTAAATCACTCACTTTCCTGCGTGAAGTGTGCAAAATAAAAACCTACAGCATCATAAATACGTTCTGAAATAAGCTGAAACCACGAAGACATTTCTTCGGAGAAAATTGTTCTACATCTATCAAACACTGACTCCCATCTCTCCATTTTCAGGCTGGCTCATGAAAATCTGCACGTTGCAGGCCAATCCAGCTAGTCCCATTTCACAGCACTAATAGTAAAAATAATGGAAAGCAAATATGGCTTTTGATTTGAGCCTCGGTTATGTCCAGCTGCCTGGTTTGAGGAGCCTAATTAGAAAGCAGATTGTATGCCATTAGGCAGATTGCTATCTTAATGTAATTCTAAAGCAGAAGCGCCTGGTGGAGGCTCCAGAAACAGTGAGGCAGAGCAGCCAAGTTCTGTTTGCTTAGTGCTTCATCTAGCAGGGAAATTCGAGCTTCCATTAGCGATGGAGACGTGGGACACAAGTCGTGTGTCTGCAGCAGTCTGCCAATCCTCAGACCTCCGTGTGAAAGGAGGAGGCATGTATAACAAGAACTCGGCTAAGTGGTCTGCTAAAGATCCATTGGCGTCTGAAGAGTGGCTGCGGCATCTCAGCCGCGCAGAAGTCTATTACAGTACGTATGAAATATTTAGCTCCTGAAAAAGGAATCGTCACAAACAGCAGCCTCACATGTGTGTTTGGCTATCAGGGTGCTTTTGTTTCTTGCTTTGTTTTTAAAGGTTCGAAGCCAAGATCTTGGGTACTGTTTACTGTAAGGGTTCTGTGTCCGGAGGGGAGAAGGGGTTAAGAATTAGATAAGGACACGGAGCTGTGGGGAAAGTGGCTGACTGAGAGTGCTGTGTTCCTTTCTGTCATGAATTGAGCGAGAGAGGAATAAGAACCGTTACAAACAAGAGAAGGACGTTCCACCCATCGAGCCCTTGTGATAGTTTGGTAGTTAGTTCCTAATCCAAGGACACCTTGAAGAGACCAGGATATCCGCTTTTGACTTCAGCCTTGGTAGCTTGTTCCATAATCCCACAACCCTTTGCGTACAGAAGTGACACCTGTTCTTGGTGTTAAATGCGCTTTCATGCGGTTTCCAAGCGTGCACTCTGGTTCGTGTTTCGCTGTTGGTGCTGTAGGAGTCCATGGAGAGGCTCTGCCCGTATCTCGGAGGATTTTAAGTGCTCGTACCCGGAGCGCGGAAGCGAGGCTGGTTGAGTGGGTCCAGATCGCAGCAGGGGCGCAGGTTTGCCGTTGCTGAGCCGATCTCCCGGCCAAGCACAGTGGCCGTACGGACTGCAGACTTGCTTTCCGCCACTCTGCCCTCGGCCCGATGTGTGGACTGGTGCTCCACACATCCCACAGGCCTCGGTCAGTCCTGGATGTGAGGAAAAAACGCTGGCTTTGGGAAACGTTTACCAGTGTGTATTCAGTCGCTGACTGGGCAGTGAGGTGCTGGGACGAGGCACTGGGGCAGCCGGGTGGGATGGAGCCAGACACGCTCTCGTTGGTTGGAGCTGCAGTACACTGTCATTGTGGCGATGAGATTTAAAAGGCCGCAAGTCTTTTTATTCTCCTGGAAGGATCCCAGATGTAATTTTGGAGGCTTCTTAGACCCAAATGTTCAGATGGATTTATATGGTGGTGTGTAGTGTTTACAAAGATCAGTGAAACAGATTTTGAAGTGGAAGTCAAAACCGAGGAGTGTCTGGCGTTAGTCATTTTGGGCCTCGGAGTCCACATCCTCTGAGTGAAACTCCTGACTTGCAGAGAGTGAGTTAACCCTGTCACTTGTGGGCATTCGGCTGCTGGTTTCATGCACGCTGCTGTTGCACAAAGGGCTGTTGAAGGATCCCTTTAACAGCTGCGTTTGCTCCGGAGCGATATTGACCCTGTGCATAAAATCCAACACAATAACACAAATGCCTCCGTTCACAAGGGGAAGGAGACTTTGCAAATCTGGGGCACAGCTGCATAGAGCCTTCTTGGGTCAGGCTGGACTGGTTACCGGTGTTGTGTGAAGAGACTCTCAGAGCTCTGAGGAAACGGATTTCAATAGCCGGAGCTGACATTCCTGTTGAGACCCGGTTGGACCTGATCCGCCGAAGCCGGTTGGAATTGAGCCCGCAAGGCCCGGCTGGCCCTGATCTCATCACTAGCCCTACTGTAGAGGGTTTTTCCCTGGCTGGCTGCCTCCTGCAGTTGCTCTGTGACACCAGCTGATTTAAGACGTGCCTGAATGGAACTGGCAGCTCTGTCTGCATGCCAGCCTCCAGATGTTTTAAGTAGCATCTGCTGATCCCGGGAGGAGGTAGGGCGCTCTGGCTGTGTCTGGATGTTTTTTTGTGGCTGTGCAAGAGCAGGCTGCAGCACTGGCTCTGAGCAAAGGACAACGCAGGAGAGCAGATCTGGCCCAGGTGACCCCAGACACACCCTCGACCCGAGCTGCCACAGAGGTCTGGGGAAGGGCATGGGGTGAATCCTTCCTGTTTGACTGAGATCACGTGCGCGGATCACATCTCCGCAGGAAAAGAAGACATCCTGCTGTAGATGTGTGTGTGCACGCGAGCATCTTTCAAATGTGTCGTGAGAATTAAGCCGTTCAGCTGAGTCTCTGGTTTGTCATCTGGTCTTAAAGCCTGTTACAGAGTTTGACTCGCCTTGACAGTTTGGTGTTGTTGGGTCTTTTGTTTTGCTCCTCCTCCAGAACATGAGCGACGCCATGGCTGTCCTCCACAAGCTGCAGACGGGGCTGGACGTCAACGTGAGGTTCACGGGGGTGCGGGTGTTCGAGTACACGCCCGAGTGCATCGTGTTCGACCTGCTGGACATCCCCCTGTACCACGGCTGGCTGCTGGACCCGCAGGTCAGCGTCTGGCCTGTCCCGGGGTCGCGTGGTCAAAGACTCCCCTGGAAGGACAGGGTGAAAGGATATGGTCCAGACCTGCGGAACGTTGAGTTCCCTCATAGGATAGCCATTTCGTCCTAAACACAAATTATTCCAAGTGTTTGCATATCAAGGTCTTTAAACCAGAAAGCTTGTTATACGACACAAGCTTTCTGGTTTAAGAAGTAGTTTGGCTACAAAGCAGTTGGATTATTCACCAGCACAGTCCTAATGAAGCTTGTCCTCTGTAGCATTTGCCCTGTCTTTTAAAGGTGCTGTAGAATTCATGTAGTTAATAACACTGGTTCTAGGCAGTGTCGCTGGTCGTCAGGGTTCCCAAAGAGGCAGCACACGACTGGCGGTGCCCGCTGGGGCTTGTGACTTCACCGCCCGGCTCGCCATCTCGCCTGCGAGCCCGAGCTGCTCAGAGCATCACTGCCCGCTGGGAGCTGCCTCACTCCTGGTCCTGGTGTGGGCACAGCTGGGCTTTGCCATGTGAAAAATGGTGCATGGCACCGGCGGTACACATGTCGGAGGAAAGCGTGTGCTAGTGAACGTCACTCTTCCACGCTGGAACAAGGGATTTGTCCTTTGGGTTGACTGACAGTCATTCCAAATTGGTGGTGGAGGCAGGGGATGTGAAGAAATAAGAGATCCTCAGAGTTCTCTCTTGGAGTTTATCGCTGCGCTGCTGGTGTGGAGGAGCCAGGGAAGTGGCGCTGACCCAGTGTGCACAACAGGGTGTGATGATAATGGTGACCAGGCTCTCTTCTTCCATAGATGGACGACATTGTGAAAGCAGTAGGGAACTGCAGTTACAACCAGCTGGTGGAGAAGATAATCTCTTGTAAACAGTCTGATAACAGCGAGCTGGCAGGGGAAGGTGGGTGGGTTTCCTCTTTCTTAAGACAATAAACACAGGCCGGTTGATAAGCCTGCTTAAACTTCACTCTTCTTTCTCCCCTTCCTCTTCTTTTTTTTTTTGCTCTTTCCTCCTTTCTCTGATGCCTGTAAAATTGGAAGAACAGCCAGACTGCATGTTGGCTGATAACATTTTTACGTTCTCCAGAGCTGTGAACTTGATCTTCCCCTTGCTTAAGGTTCTGGGGACTGTGTTCAACAGCACAGCTCGTTGCATAGTATCTGGACTGCCTAATGTCAGGCTAGTGAAAGTACTAGCTGCCCCCCAGTGCGTCCTTCTGCATGGACCACTGGATAGGGTAGATTGTGCTCAGAGGAATATTCCATTTTCTGAAGACAGTGAATGTGGAATATTTGTCCACTTGCCTTAAATGTTATGGACATACTCAATGTTGAGAAATGTCCCACCAGACACAAAAGTACAGAAAATTCAAATGAACTGGGGTCCAGTTAGATGACTGCGTAAGACCACAGGCAAACTGCATTGAACCAGCTCTGTTCCCGGGGGGCTGCACTCTGTTGAAAAGGTAACACGCCACTATCATAGGACCAGTCTGCCTCCATGTGGCATTGCTTAAGACTCGCTGCACTCTGTTTTTCTTACAGCTTAGGTTACTGTTCCTGATAAAGCTGTTTTGCTGTACTCCTGTACTTCAGGGGACAGCAGCCTTCTTTCTGGAGGGTTTCGAAGCTGTGGGTTTTGTGAAGTAGCTCTAAGTGGCTCCTGAGCAAGGAGCAGAAAGCCTGTGGTTTAGTACTGATTAAGCAGCCCTTTGATCTAGTCGTTCAGTTGTGAACGGGAATGGCAGCTAGACATTCGGCAGCAGGGCGCGAGGAGCATGGTTGTAGGGCCCTGTATCAAGGCTGCGTGTGACTCCCTGCTCTGTGTTCCCTCAGGCTTCGTGGCCGAGCAGTTCCTGAACAGCACGGCCACTCAGCTGACCTATCACGGGTTGTGTGAGCTGACCTCTACTGTGCAGGAGGGAGAGCTCTGCGTCTTCTTCAGGAACAACCACTTCAGCACCATGACCAAACACAAGGTAACACAGCACCCCATCATCAAAATGTCATCCAAGGGCTGGAGTCCCCCCCTAGTGCAGGAAAGGGATCTGCGGTATTCTCTTATTTAATCAGGAGGAAAAAAAAGGGGTCCCTAGGTGTCTTTTTGTTCTCTTCGCTGACCTCTGCTGTTCATCTAATGTAGACAACTTTCAGTTAGTTATCAAATCATGTTTTTCAAGCTGCTACCAATTCAGGTGGTTCTTAACAAAAAATAATTAGTAACTTCTTTAAAAAAAGGTTAGATCAAACTAAAATAATCCGTAAATAAAGTATATTGTGGTACTAACATATAATGGTCTTTTCCAGTTAAGAAATATTATTGAGCTGATGTGAACGTCCACATTTTAGGTTATGATTCTGTTGTGGAACTGTGGCTCTTTCGCTACAGTATGTAACCACTTGTGCATTGGTGTGTATTCCTTCGCAGAGTGAACAGAGGTCAATGGCTCTTTGACAGTTAAAATAATTAAGAGGTGAATTGAGCGCTACAGATCAGAACAACAGCTGATTCTAATGTGGCTGCTCCAAATCTGAATGTAATTTCCATCTTGCTGGAACATGAGGAGAGGCTCTGACCTGAGCCCGCATGCTGAGCTGGGCTTGTGGGGCTGGCGTCCAGAGGGAGGCCCGTGACCCAGTTCTCTGCACGACGCAGCCTGGCAGGATTCGTGTGTGCCTAGGGAAACAAGCTGTGTGAGGGAGCTCACCAACACCGAGCAGAAGGCCGTCAGAGAGGATCTGCCCCTGCAGTGACTGCAGTTTCCCAGTAGCTTAGCAGTCGTGTAGCATTGGTTCTTCAGCTTGTTCTGTCGTGGAGATGAGCTGGTTTAAGAGGTGTATGCAATTCAGCCCCTTTCAGCCAGGGAGCTGGTTTAGCACTTGTTTTTTTGATTATCTGCTCGCTTACCTTGTGTCCACTCGGGTTTATTTAAGGTGCTTGGACAACTGAAACATTTTTAACATTCAGAACAGCAGTGCAAGGATGCAAAAATGCCATTTCAGCGTTTGGTTTCTTTTGTGGTTTGTGATGCTGTTTGACACCCCTTCAGATGATGGGAGATTGAATTGGCAGTGTGGCGTCTGTGGTATTTTGCGTAGTTATGTCACTTCAGTGAAGTCCCCTGCGGGCACCCAGGGGTGGTGAGGCTAGCTTGTCTGTGTGAAGCAGATGCCCTGGCTCCGCCCAAGAGAAGGCTGGACGAGAACTATCCACCTACTGGGCTCCTCTCGTTTGTGACTTTTCTTAACATTCTCAATGTCCTATGCAGGGATGAAGATTTTTCGCATTGAAAATAGAAAAATAAAAAAGTCTTTTTTTTAGCTGCTTCTCACCTTCTTGTGTGTGTCTGCTGCGCACAGGGGCAGCTGTACCTGCTGGTCACAGACCAGGGCTTCCTCACAGAGGAGAAGGTGGTGTGGGAGAGTTTACACAACGTCGACGGCGACGGCAACTTCTGCGACTCCGAATTCCACCTGCGGCCGCCCTCGGACCCCGAGACTGTGTACAGAGGCCAGCAGGACCAAATAGACCAGGTGGGGGAGCCCTCCCTGCACGCGGTTTGTGTGGGCTGTTTCTCCAGGAAAAAAAAAACAGCCTTGTTTAAAGATAATGCTGTTCTTGGTCTGGGTACCTTACCAAGTGCTCACTTCGTTTTGGGGTTTCTTCATGTTACCATATTGTGATCTTCTTTACAGCAGTGTCCCCGGCTTGTAGGCTGATCTCGCCAGATCTCAGAAGCTGAGCGAGGCTGGGCCTGGTCAGTACTGGGCTGGGAGACAGCTAAGGAAAACCAGGTTGCAGCTGCAGGTGATGTTAGTGGACCATTAGAGGGTGCTCTGCCCTCTGGATGTCCAAACCAATATCCCAGTATTGTCCCAGACGATCAAGAACACTCTCCTGTAGGAGGTGTCATTGTTCAGATATAGAGAGGTCCAGACCAAGTCACAAACAAATCCCAGGGCAGCTTCCAATTGAGTATGAGTTTTAACCCAGGTGTCCTGACTAAATTCTGCTCTGGTCCCGAACAGTCTGGCCTCTCTAATGTTCCCCTTAATTTCAGGATATAGATTCTCATGTCTAAGCCTGATCTGCTGTGCAGTGGGGCTGTTGGGCACGTCACCCAGGTGGATGGAGTTAGTGTGTTGGGATCCTCTGGTATAAAAAACACTGTATAAATGTGAGGAATAACGATCTCTTCTGGGCCACAGTGCCCTTGACCACGAGAAGAGAAGATGGGGTGGGTGAGGAAGGAAGGTAGGATGCTCTGACTTCTGGAAGATACTGAGACCGTAGTTTCTTCATGGTGTCTTACAGACTTCTAGGGCTCCATGGGAGACACAGACCCTCCCACAGTGTCACCCTGAGCGGTCAAGGTGTCGTGTGACCTTAATTAGAGCTTAATTAGAGCTCAGAGTGACCTGTCTGCACACTGAACTTCAACTTGGAACTGTAATGAACTTCATTACAGTACGTCAGAAAGATCCAACTCCCCTCGCCCCGTTTACCCCGAAAGAGAACCCCTGATGAAGGCGCTTGTCAAGGTCAATTGGATGGGGGAGAAGAAAAAGAAACGGCACCCATTTCCCCATCCTGTTCCAGAAGGCCTGGCTGCCTAAGCTAAAAGCTCCCCCCATTACAAAGAATTATCTCTCTGCCACACGCCACTTGTCCTTTAGAATTAGAAGCAGTTTGCCTTATCAGCAGGTTGGAGTAAATCATCTCGGAGCGGTCTCTGCCCAGATTATCCTTTTAATATTGGATAATATTTACAGACTGCCTGTTCCGTCATTTTGACAGCTGTGCTGTGTTTCAGCTACGTTAGAAGGAACACACAGTCCACCCTGACTGGCTTGCATGCAGTTAAATTCTTTTTCACTTCATGGCGAAATGCAACCCATACCAGGAAAAACAAGCTGTGCGTAAATGTAGGGAGCTCAAGAGACAACAGCAAGGGAAAAAGGGCGTGATGCTCGCTCCAAAGACAAGAAAAATGTAATGGTGGAGACTCCGCTCTGTAAAAAGATTTTTGGCTGCAGTTAGGTAAGCAAACAGCATAGTGTGCTTGAAGGTTGATGATAACCTGGGATTCATCACTACGTGCACAGTGACATCCACAATTGCATTAGTTAAATACTCCCAAAAGTGCTCTATCACAGGACTCTTCCAAAACACGTGTAGGCAGGTACAGGGCCTCTGAGTGCGTCTGTGACGCAGAGGCTTGGGAACTGCAGATGTGGTGCTGCCTTCTCAGTGCAAGTTATAATAGGTTAGCTAGTCTGTCGGGTGGAAAATAAATAGGAGGAAAAAGTATTGTCCTGGATTGCAACAAGCTCGTCTTGTTCTTCTTCCCATGAAATGGTAACTAGGAAGGGCCTGATTTTAGATAAGAAAACAGCACCCGGAGGTGAGAGTAGATTCATTATGGCAGCTATTGAAAAGATACATCAAGGAGGTGTTTTAGCAAATTGAATACAATATAGTTTATTTATGAAAATAAAGTGTGTCATTCTGAGTAACAGTATTTTTTTTGTATATTTCAGTGTTTAATTCCGTCCATGTGAGATCATGTGTCTAGCCGCCTCGAGAAAAAGCATAATTCTGTTGCTGCAGCTGTTTTTGTCTTTCCCTTGTTAATTTAGCGGCGACCTCTCACCGTCTTGATAAAGGCCGCCGCTGGAGAAAAGGTAACTGAGCAGTAAACGGAGCGGCCTGACAGTCTGCCTGCCTTTTGGACAGGACTACCTGATGGCCCTGTCGCTGCAGCAGGAGCAGCAGAGCCAGGACCTCAACTGGGAGCAGATCCCCGAGGGAATCAGCGACCTGGAGCTGGCGAAGAAACTCCAGGAGGAGGAGGATCGCCGGGCCTCGCAGTTCTACCAGGAGCAGGAGCAGGCCGCTGCCGCCCAGGGGCAGGTGAGGGGGCAGGAGTTTTTTTGTTCTGGGGGCCTGTTTCCCCAAGAAGGTGAAAACAAAATCGCATTTGAAATGTTCTGATGGGTTGTTTTCCTGTGCAGAGCTGGGGGGGGGGTATGAAAATGGAGAAAGGCAGGGTTTTTACCCTGCCTTTTGTTGGAGTTTGTTGGAGTCTCATGTGCTGGAAAAGAGGTGTGCCGAGGGAGGTGAGAGAGCTGGCAGGGGTGGGCGGGTGGCAGTTTGGAGGGGAACTGCAGTCCCGACGGCTCAGTTATTAAATCTCGGTAACGAAATAAATTCATCGACGGCGTTCGCAAAAAAATTGTGTACATTTTGAATTACTTGTAAAACGGGGAACTTTGTGAAACTACCGTGTGGTCGCCATGTTGTCGCGGGCAGACGAGAAACCACTGGTCCTGCCACGGGCGAGAGCGAGAGATCGCGCAAATGGTGACATGAGAGCGACCCTTCCTGCTCACTAGTCTCTGTAAGCAACTGAGAAACATGGCCCCCTAACAACATTAATTATTATGAGTATTTAAGTTGATTGGCAGGTTGCTCTTTTTTTGCAGGACTTAAAATTATAGGAAAAACGTCAAATTCTAAGTGTCAGTTTCTTGAAAATAACTCCTCTTAATATAGTAGTAAATTTGCTTGGTCTAAAGCATATTTACAATGTAATGGGACTGCTTTGGCATCAATGGAAGTTTTGTTGCCTCATTCTGAATTACAGACAATAATGGCAATATGTTGCTACGCAGAGATTGACACTTCGTCTCTTTTGTGATGTAAATTAGAGATTCGACACGTTAACGTGTACCTGTGCTTTGAAATGTGCACGTCATTGCAGGTTCACCCCAAAATGTACCAATAGCGCTGCAGGTGCCCTTTAAGGAGGAAGGCCGGATTGTGGAATGAGGAGTTGAAAAGGAAGGCCCTGCTGTGATAGAACAGGGCACGAGCGTGGGGTGTAATGTAAACGTTGGGAGCCGTACTGTCTGAAGCACAGATCGACAGGCCTGCTCAGTGCAGTGGGGAGCCTATGGGCACACGCTGAGGTCTGGGGGACAGGGGCTGGAACAGCAGTCACCACGTGATAACGCTCCGCTTTACACTGTATCCTTGAAAGTTTATTTACAATAGAATCACTTCTCTTTGTTTCGTGGTAGCTGGCTGTTAGACTTCAGCCCTGTTGAAACTTCCTGTCATGTGATGTATGAGCCGAGTGTGGCTTAGCTGGGGAAGGGGAGCCCAACTCCAGTCTTTAAACACTGCTGTCCAGTGTGGTTCATAGGGCTCTTTGAATCCCCAGCTTCTCAAGAACACAAAGTCATTCAAATTGTCCAAATCGAGTTAATTCCAACTTGTCTAATTAAACAATGACTTCAATTAGGTGGTTAAGTGCTCAGGTGGAAAGAAAAGCTTCCTCCAGGACGGGTGAGGTGCTCCTCTAAGCTGGGGGGAGTAAACCTTTTTTTTTTTGCAGGGACACCAGCAGCCACCGGGGGGCGCCGTGGGGGCCGCCGCTTCTGCAGCAGGGGCAGCCTCCAGCCCCGGGAGGCAGACCGGCAGCAGCGAGCGCAAGCAGAAGAAGGAGCCGAAGGACAAGGACAGGTGCGTCCTGTTGTAGGGGGCGAGGACGGGCCCCCGGAGAGCGAGCACGCAGAGCAAGAACACAAACCCGTTCACACGCCGCCTGTGCCTGACGTCCCCACACGCCCTCCGTCCCCAACACCCCCACCCACCACCCTGCCCATGCCGACCTTGCACCCAAGAGAACGGAGAATGGCGACCTCTTTGATACCACCGGCCAGACGCAATTCCACGTTGCACCACACACAGAAGACGTGATGGAGGCTCTAGGGTGTAGGGGCGATGTGTTTTATAGCAAAAACCACAAAAACAGAAAAAATACGGACGGCTGCACCTTGTAGTACCAATGGACGTTTCGTAGAAGACAACCATCACCTTTTATGTTTTTTGGGGTTTTGTTTTAGTCAGTTGATAAGCTATTTTATATTACAGGACATATATTAAGGAAGTTGTGTTTTTTTGTTCCCCGGTTCGTGGTCGCCGAACCGGACGACTTTGCCTCAGCTGAGGCCGAGTCTTTCCTTGTAGCAAAGCCAGCTGTGTCCGAGGGGCCAGAAGGGGCTGCGGGCAGTGGCGCAGACCGGGGCAGGGATGAGGCAAAAAAAACAACACAAAGGGGAACTTCAGGCACTCTTCCCCTGGAAAACTCCTACTCTTCAGGTGGCTCCTACAAACCGGCTCCCTTGCCGCTGTGTCTTACGGTTTTTGTTTTTTAAGAATTCATCATATTTTCAGGTTTGTCTTAAGGATTCAGGCCTGTGCTGTCCATGGAATGAGTTTAGGGCTGTTCTAGAGGGCCACCAGCACCTCACTAGCTCTAATTCCTTGTGTTCCCGGAGAAGGACAGAACATTCCTGCCCCAGCATGGCCACCGCTGAGATCTGGAGGGATGAAGCCCTTGCAGACTTCTCTACTTCTGCTCCTTGTTCTCGCACGATCGTCTGGGCATCAAAATCAACCCCCGTGTTTGAATCTGTACCTGTCCTGGTTTGGCCTTATTAGTACACACCCTTTGCTCCAACTGCTTACTGTTTAGGGACTGCTTGTATCCATGTGTGTGCACGTGTGTGGTGTGTAGTTGTATCAGCAAGTGGCTCTGTTGGTTTTTTAACAAGGCCGTTTCATCGTTGGTGATAAAGAGGCTGATGGGATTGTCTAAATTGTAAGTAAGACTAACAGATGGGTTGGTAGGACTTGTTTGTACAATGGTAGTGATTTAACATTGAAAACGTTTTTTATCTGATCTTTTATTACAAAGAACCATCGCAGAAATTGAAGGGTTCTTGTTAATTTTGTATATAGTGTAACCCGTAGTGACTGGATTTATCAATAGCGAGTAGTGTTGCAGGAGGATCGCTGATGACTGTTACTGAACTATGTAGACGACAGCCGCACAGTCTTTCAGCCCCAACTCCAAGAGCTACCTTTTTTCAAGTGCACGTACCATGCCAACTGTAGTCTGTCTAATCACGATTGGCACCTGCGCTTTCAGCAGTAATGGGATTTAAGGGAATTCAAAAGGCTGGCAGATGCCAATCTAGTCATATGGCTGACAGGTGGGAGCTGCAATCTTAGGCTGACTTTCCGCAGACGGACGAGCCTGAGAGCTTTGGTTCCAGGTTGCTTTCAGCTTACTCGTCGAAAATGGCTCCGGCCTTGTCCTAAGACAATTCTGCTTAATGTAGTCTGGGTCGCAAGTTGCCATTGTGCCCCTTGACTGTGTTCACAATCACATTTCTTTTCTGCATACAGAAACAACAGAGCTAGACAGTGAGTTGTCTCCCACAAATTTAACGGTACTGCCGCTTCTTGAGCTAATAACTAAGGTTCTCGGTCTATACATTCCAACTGAATGCCTTTACTTACACGAGAACGTTTTTAATGTGTTGACCCTGCACTCAGACAGACTAAGGGAATTCACAGCAGCATTTTAGCTGAAGGGACCTTGTCTCTGTTACTTTTTTTTACTGAGCGCTGTATTTATTTAGACTTTGTGAAAGGTGTAGTAAAATCCCTTGAGGCCTAACTCACTCTGTACATGAAAAAAATATAAGCCTTACAAAAGAAACTTTTTTTAAAGAAAAAAACAAAGGATCTGCATAAAGGACAATCTGTAGATTTCAACAGAAGCATCAGAAAAACAGCAACCTCTCAGGCCTTTGAAAAAATGGGACATAATCCACTCGTGTCTTTCGATACTGCTTCATGTTTATAAGCTTTCATAGATGTTCTGTGGGTCCTTAAGCAGCAATCTGTAGAGAACGAGTTGCAGATATATGTATATCCCTACATATTGTTGATTTTCATTAATCCTGTGTTTTCTGCGCATATTGTATGTTGGCTCATTATAAAATGCATGTCTGCATTTGTATATCATACTGAAATGTTAACTCTACAGTTTAATGACTGTTTTATTGTACTTTCAATTGAAAATTACAAACCTAAATCAAGGCTTCCAGTTTCAGAAATCCTATGATTACAGTGGGGATAATGCCAGATGCTATTTTAGTAGTAATGAAAATGGATATGTTTTATTCTTGGTAGGATGGAAGCCTTCACTATCACTTGAAAACCATATTGTTGTGTTAATAGTTCCCTGTGACAAAAAATTAAGACTGTTAACCGTGGTCTGCAAAATGATTGGTGTACTTCAGAATCCTTTCTCTTTTCTAAAGTAAATGCCAAAAAGTAAAAGTATCTTAGTGCTGTACCACCCCTGGCTGTGGGCCTTGGTGGTTTGCAACAGTGTATTGCAGAATTCAAAAACTGAGCCTGGATGTAGGCTCTAGAAAACAAACATCTGGGTTTTTCATAGGGGACATTTCAGAACAGATCTACAGTGAGATAACTTTCATCTGTACATTAACAGTATGAATTTGTGGTTTTCTTACACCCACCATAAGAGCATTTTGACAATCTGGTTCTCAAGTGTTAGTGATCAATTAATTGTAAACAAAGTGGATACACCGATTTCAAGACCCTGTTGACTTTAGAAATAGCTGTTCTGAACTTGGAGGAGGGAGAAAGTCAGATGCAAATCTTTATTATTTCATTGTTGGGCTTGGTATGGCCAAGATTGGTTTTTCATGGACTTCAGCCAAGACATTGTGGATTCAGAATGTGTAATTGCTGCTGTGCAAATGTCTTAAAAGACAGCTTGCATTGTTTTACTCATTTCACTCAATTTTTCTCTACTATACAGAACCAATTGGTTTGATTTTCTACTGGAAATGTATTCATTTGGTTTAATGGTGTTAGGCCTGCTTTTCATAGGACAAAGAGTGGCCCTTTAGCTTTATTTTTAAAAGTTGTTAATTGACTCAGTGTGAGGTGTTGCTCAACATTAACTTCTGTTGGCAAATGGGCTGGGTTAACTACTACCACACCTAGTAGTAGCATTTAGAGATTACCGTATCTGAATTTAGGTATATGAAGTTTCTGATTAATCAGAATTAAAACAAACTTGGTGTCTTCCCACCCAAATGAAGGTATGTTAATACATTTGTTAGAACAGAAAACACTAGTGGAAGCTTGGAGTAAATTGTTCATGTTTCCAGCACATTGAAATTCCCAATTGTGTCAAATAAGCCTTTTGTACAGCAGTGTATTTACTATATCTATCAACTAAATGAAGGTAACACTAATTATGCATAGCAATGCATGACTTATGTCTCTTTTCAACACTTAAATCAGAAAAACAACTCAAAAGGACATTCCAATATAGCATGTTTACTAGGAAGGCTTATGTCTTGTATGATCAAGGAAGGATAAAGATCTTGTGAGTGACAAAAACTATTGAGAACTGACCGAAAGGTTTTGAGAAATACAGCTTTTCAGGTGCTGTACAGTAGTGTGCTGTTTTACCTATAAATATTTTGCTTGGGGTATTGGTTTTGTTCATATGTTATAAAAGGTTTCACATATTGTAGCCCATTTCCTCTTTATTAATGTTAATTGCAGGGTTATGCTGACCATGACATTGCAAGAGTAGAGTGTTGTCAGTTTGCAACAATGTTTTATGGTAATAATGGGGAAAATGTACAATGTGTGTTTCATTACAAAGGCAATCCTTGAAAATTTAGTCTGAAATGGTTTTGCACTGTTACATGGATATGCACTAGCAAAAAATACCTCATTTTATACAAAATTGAAAGTACATGTAAGCTTTAGGGCACCTTATGAATGAATGATCTGTTGGTAGTGGCAGGATAGGACTGTACACAAGCTAAAAGGCATGGTACAGTACTTCCTGCTTCAGGTCATCAATGGGACAGACAAGCTTAAGCAATGCATTTCAAACACTAAAAGGAGATGAAAGGCTTTCAGCAATGGCTTACGTTTTCTGAGGATTTCTTACTAGGAATAATGGCACAGAATTCCTTGAAAGAGATATCTACATTCAAAGCCCGCCCCTTTCTCAGCCTGTTACTGACAGCTTCCTCAGAAGGATTTTAATAAAACAAGCTGTTTCAGGATCCATGGCTATGGCAGCCCACTACAATCTCTGGAATACAGAATCAATACATAGAATTTAGGTTCATCTCCCTCCTTAACAAGGAGAAATAGTTATATCAAATTGACCTCCCTTATTCCTACAATTTTAAGATACAATTCATTTGATTTCAAACACAAAGCATGTTTATAATATCAGATCACCTAGAAATCTTTTAAAAACACTAGTAGTAATAATCATATGTATTGAATGTCATAGAATGAAAAAGTCATTTTATTTACTCTTAACCTTGGGTTGTAAATCATTTTCTCTACCTTTGCCTAAGACAAAACATTGTATAAACACCACATAAGAACTCAATTCTGCTAACTGCTGGAGTTCTGGATATAGACAACCATCCCATTATCCTAATGAAACAGCTGAGTTTTGTAGAAGAAAATACAATCACTTCTCATGAAAAGAGTTACAATGTAATGTTACAGTACAACAATGGTTCAGAATGCTATCAGATTTAATACTTGTGACCAAATAATATAGTTTGTTACAATGTTGAGTTGCAGTTCATTTTTTCTTTTCCCTATAATTTGCAATCTTAGTTGGTTAACAAAATGCCTTAGAAGACGATGGGTGTGTAGCCCAGTAAACTGTAATATTACAATATTTAGAATGGAAACTAAGGATTGCCAGGTTATTTTAACATTACATGCAGTCTTATATTATGTTTCTGTAATTATGAAAAAACAGTAGCCTATTGTGCCATTAAACCTTATTTACTCGCAGATGTGCTTCTGTAATAAATTAATGCTTTATGTATCTGGTGTTGAATCTTGATTTCAACAGGTAACCAAATCCAGTGCTGGAGCCTGCTGACCACCTCCTGCTAAAGCAGAGAGTCCTGCAATGCCTAAAGAGATCTTTTGGCCTTACAGAACTGCTTTAATTTAAAAAAAAAAAACAAACTTTAAGATTTCTAAAAGAATAAAAAAATCCTTTAATAGCAGCTGCCTTTTCCATCCATAACAAACTGTAAAGCAAGAGCACAATGTACTATAGTTTATTTTAAAAGGATGAATTTCTATAGTAGTAATCACAACCATTGTACAGTACAAGAGTACTCTGCTGGCAAAAAAAGCAGTCTGAAAACAAATATTAAAGTCATTACAAATAAAAACTAAAGCTGCACATTTTTCTTAACATGTTATAACATGTGCACAGACATGAGTTTATACTATAATCACAGCGTAACTGTAGGTAATGGCTACAACTTTACACTAGTCTTTACAAAACAGGAGGCCTTTTTACACGAACCTTTGTGCCATAGGAAAGTCCAGCCATTAAAACATCTATTCAAAAATTCAACAAAAAAAATAAAATTAAAACTCTTAATATAAAAAAGGATCTTCTCTGTAAAGAAAGGTGTCTTGACAGGTTTACAGACTTCACATTATCGTGGTAGAAGTCACTAGCAGAGAAGTCAGAACCTTCTCGGTGCTCCCTTAAATGGCTTGTATCCTCCGCCACTTCCTCCCGATAAGGAATTGTTTGTAATCTGTACTATTCGGTTCATCGGTGGAGCAGAATGGCTATGAAAAACAAGAAAACCTGTTAAAATTCTACCCCATAAACATTTTTACTGCTTGAAGCCTGCTTTAATTACCAAGTATTTCCAAGCAGCAGAAAAAGTCTGCGACTCACACCTCTCTCACTTTTAAAGGCATCATTTGTTTGACTTACTGGACAGATGGCTGCTGTGCTGCAGGTTGGAGTTTTTCAACACATTGTATAATTCAGGCAAACATCTATGCTTATCTCATCAAAAAAAAAGTGACAACTGAAAAACCTCATTATGAAAAAGCAAGAAAAGGTAAAACTGGAATCCTGTCTCTGGTCCTACCTGGAGTGCGGTGACATCATGCTTCCTCGGCTGTCCCGCAAGCTCCGGGAATCGGGATAGCCAGTGCTGTGGGAACTGGGCCCGTGCCAGTCTTTTCTTGGGCCTTGATCGCGGCTGTGGCGCTCAACTATCACTTGTCTTCCATCACTGAAATGCTAAAACACATCAGAAAGCTTGAGTACTAAGAACATCTTGTTATAGCAAAGGCCTAATGGGATTTGGTTTCAGTTTACAAGGCAGTACACGTTTACTATACTGTACCATCAGATGAAATCCCTAATTTACAAAAAATCACATCTGTAATCCTTTTTCTGAAACACAACACATGCTTTTATTACATCTAATATATGAAAGTCTTAATTACATCTTTTATTAAAACTGTAGGTCAGCACAAGTTAAGGTATCGTTTTAAACTCAATGACAATTTAAAACTAGGGCTGCAGAGGAGCTCTCCATACACAAGGATGGAGTTCAGATCCTAGTGCACCTGAAAGACAGCAGTGCTCACCTGCTCCCCCATCATCATCGCTCGCCCCCCATCTCTGCTGCTGAAGCTGGACCTGCCACAGCTGGACGAGGGGACTCCTCTCAGGCTTGGTCCAGGGCCCTCCCTCCCCGACCTCTCCGGCCGAATCCGCACTCCACCCCTGCACAGAGTCCACAGAGGAAAGCACCGAGTCAGAATCTGCACGTACTGCAACAGGGCCTGCTCATGCTTCCCGGACACCTTTATATCTGCTGGAATCAATGCAGCTGCAGGGACAGAGGTTTGAGAGGAGAGCAGCGCGACAGGCGGTGAAGGCAATACCCGCTTTTCAGTATCTGACGTTTGTCACAGAGGACTTGCCACTGGCATGGGTTGACAAAAGGGCTGGAATCCATTTAGGAAAGACACTTCAAAACCTACATTTTTCCCCCACAACTACAAAAAGCACCAAAGTACATTTTAAGCATGATCCCCTAGTACATTAAGTACATTATGGTGAACAATCTGAAGCTACAAAAGGTAGCATTTATCCCACATTCCATTCAAACTTGAATCCCTGAATGTCATGCTTACCTAATGCTGCCCTTATTAGCGCTTAGTTCGGCTTCAGCCTTCCAGCCTCCATGTCCAGAGTGGCGGGGGGAGCGACCATGAGACATGTCTTCTACCCTGCCCCTCTCAGGAAGGCCCCGGCTCCCTGCGGACCTGTCTGGAATAGTGACTGTTCTCCTCTCATCCTTATCCCTAATTTCTCTCCGGTCAGTGTCTCGGATTTCAGCTCGCGGTGGTTCAGGCCTTCTTGAGTTATCATAAGCTTTAGGATATCGGTCAAACCCTGAACTTTCCCTTCGAGCAGGTGGACGGGTTTTCTTTCCATCTACGTCGCTCTCAAATCTATTGCGCCTGTAAAAAAAAAAATAATAATTCAGTCCTATTTTTCTTTTACCTAGAAATATATTTTACCAGGTTGTAAAAGGTTGTGGAATCTTGGAACAAGCCAACCTTGACACAATGTTGATGCCCTGGTTTGTCAAAAAATGGCAGGGTGAGGTTCTTGTTAGCAACTAACAGGCTAGGTGTTTCGAACTGCCTCCTCATTTGTAACTGTCCTGCACAATATTTAAATCTTCAACAGTCTACCTTTTCAAAATGATCTTCAGATTTTCATAAGAAATAAGTGTGGTTTATGGATCGATACAGGCTGGCATCCCCAATAGTTGCTGGCAGCAGCATTGCACAGAAATGCAAATGTAAAGTTTTTAATTAAAACAGAACCCTTCCTGGAATAATCTATAGAGGAATAAATTTGGATTACATCAACATTTTCAACTTGCTCATTCTTAACAAATGATAAACTACACCTTTCTTCCAAGCAGAAACTGCTTTGTTGCAAACAAAAGTCTGCTTTCACGTACAGGGTTCATAATGTGTAACACACAGGCAGCTACAGCTGTTGTGTAGACTTGGCAAATGTCATTGCAGAGCCCTACGTTCTGGTCCAAAAATCATTTTTTAAAACCACTGGGGTCATTGATAAATTCCTACCTTTCAAAGGATGGAGGACGCATGGAGGCCCCTTCAGGAAACCTGCCCCTTTCTCTGGGGTGAAAGTCATTAAAGCGGCCCGGGTGACGATAATCAGAGCCGTGACTTAACCGGCTTTCCGAGTCTGTCTGAATCTTTTTATTGCCATTCCAGTATGGATCATCTCTCCTTTTTAAAACAAGAACAGCAAAAAAGATCACTGTCAGACAGTACACATCAAAGCGTAATTCTGTTCAAGATGTAATACTTTATCAACTGAAACCAGAATGTTTATAAAAACATCTCATCTTGTAATAAGCTATAATAGACACACTGCAGAGAAAAGTACTAAAATACACTTAGTACAAAACTAATAAAGTTCCAAAACACTGCTCTCACTGAACCTGAGAAAGGAGTCAACAATGGAGCTGTTTATACCTGTGATCTACATCCCTGGTTCTTTTCAAGGAATTGCGTTTCTCTTGCTCGTAGCGCAGCTGTTCTTGTTGGCGTCGCAGTTCCTCACGCTCGCGAGCGATACGCTCAGCTTCCTTACGGCGCTCCTAAAAACACATTTCTGATCAAAACAAAAAAGCCCTTCCGAGTTTCAGGGTTCTCCACTGGGATCTGTTTTGTCTCGAGGACGGATACTGCGTTCGCAAGTGAAACGCGGTTTTCAAATCAGAGGGGAATGTCAAAGACGCGAGTGCGCGCACACACACACACACACACACCTGTTCGATGCGGATCCTCTCCCGCTCCAGCCTCTCCCTCTCCATCCTCTCCCGCTCCAGCTTCTGCCTCTCGATCTCCAGCCGCTCCCGCTCCCTCTGCAGGTGCTCCTGCTCCTCCCGCTCTCGGAGAATCCGGATCCGCTCCCTCCGCTCTCTCTCTGCTATTTCCCGCCGCCTGGGAATATGGGGAGGCATTGATGTAATCAGTCCAAAATCAAACTCATTCCATCAAGCGTCACGTACAGCATTCACCCGTTGGCTTCTTCCAACTCGGAGCCACGGGGGAGCCGGAGCCTATCTCCGGCATACAATGGATGCGAGGCGGGATGCAGCCTGGACGGGACGCCAATCCATCGCAGGGCAGACACCAACACACACACACACGGCCAATTATCCTCCCAGTATATCTTTGGGCTTTAGGAGGAAACCAGAGTAGCCATAGGAAACCCATGCAAACATGGGTAGAACATACAAACTCCAAGCAGAGAGCTCCCCAGGTCTGGACCCAAACCCATGCTGCCCAAGAACAGCATTTAACACCACTAAGATACCTTCTCAATTCAATAGCCCGGCGAATGCGCTCCAGTCGAACCAGCCTCTCCCGCATTCTCTGCTCCTTCATCTTCTCGAAGGGCAAAATGTCCTTCTTCCCTCCTATGTTTGGCAAGATCCTCCTTTTGCTCCTTAACATCTCCATCTGCGAACAAACAGTAATTCACTTTCAGGCACACAGAGAAGAATATCTTCTTGGACAACGCACCATTTTTACACATGGAAAGGGGAGGCAAGACTGAAGAAAAAAGGGAGTAAAAAAGGTATGGGGATTGAACGAATGAATGAATCGGTGTTTAACCTAAGAGAGAATACAGGCAACAGACCTCTTCAGGAGGAATAAACCATCTGGGGCGTCGCGTCATAGGTGGGAAGACCTTAATGACCAAAGAGAGAGAGTTATATAGAGCAACTGTTAAGACAGGCATTAAACAACTGCAAAAAACATACAGTAGAACCTCGGTATTTGAATGCAAGCACAGAAATTAATACCTTATGGGGAAAACAGGGCATGGTTCTCCAGCTCATGAAACAGGCATTTCTGAAATTATATTTTTGTTATAACTTTTTTCTGAAAGTGTTATTTAATTTTGTATTTATTGGAATATTTTAATGGAGATTAGCACTGTAAACTTTAAAAAAACACTTCTCATAATTCAAGTTGTTGTATGTGCAAACAAATTAGATCAGTTATGATCTAGTTAAATATTTTCACATTGTTTTTATTAGTATTATAAGTGCAGTCCTGTCCTGTATTAAGGATTATTACAGCACAAATTTACTCACTCCCTTCCCACTCAACCAACTCTCTTGCTCCTGTGGTTTGTCAATTTTTTTAAACATTTTTGAATGAGACAGACAGGGAACCAAGATAACTGATAACTTCGGTGACCACAGAATTTTTTCTGTTATTTAATGTTTCTTTTATTTCACAGCACCACACTGAGTCACACACAGACATTATGCATTACTCTGATAACATGTCTACACACAAGACAAACCTTAACACTCTCCTGGCAGAAAATGAGTAAGTAAAGCATAATCCATGATGCAGGACTACATAAATGTTATGTAGCAAGGTCTCCTTACTACAGACACCGAAACAGGTCGGGTGAAGCAGATCTGCGAGATGTAGATGCTGCATCTACAAAGATACCCGCTTTTACTCTCCTACTGCTCCGCCCGTGAACAGGCGAATTTGGTCCGGAAATGTTAGAGGTCACTAAAACGTATGCATGAATAGGTGAAATAGAACTCGCAAATATCAAGGTTCTACTGTATATAGATACAGGCTCGTTAAACTGGCACAGAATGGTGCATGAGTTTTCAAAAACATCAAGACCCTTTAGTACTCTATTAAACATCACAAAAAGAGTTGTAAGATTTCAGAAAGTAATTCAATGACTGCAGGGATTACCACATTTTTGAATTACTTAACCCTTTGCATGTTTATTTTCCAGTACCTTTTCAAACCTCCCTCTTCTCAATGGTGGCCTCAATTTATTGAAATCAGGGTCCGCTTTTGTTTGATCAATCACTACCATCTTGCCAGGACTCTTGGGGCCTGAATTGCAAAGAAAAAAATATTTGTTAACCAACACACAGAAGACATAGAAATATACCTTAGTAGATCCTTTTGTATGCGATACTCGATTTTAAAAGTAATCGTTTTCAACAATATGATTCCTTGGTTTCCATCATGGAAAACAAGCTGAAAGACTGAACTAAAAACCTCTCTGTCTTGAATTTCTGAATATCGTGAATATCCGTGTTGCTACCGCAACAGCCAACTCAATCTTCGAGTTACAATGTTGGAGTGCCTCAACATTTCAACCCTAATGTGTTACTTTCTAGTCAGTTTTGTTAACAAGCCTCCTCCACTGTTCCTACACACTTACGTCCGTGTTTTTTGTCCTCCTTTTTCGAAGCGTCCGTACCAGATCCCGCCGCCTCCGTCTTCGCACTTTTAGATTCCTGCTTCTTTGACGTTTCTTTGCTCTCCTTGTCAGAGGGTTTCTCAGATTTTTTCTCTTCCTTCTTGGAAGATACAGGTGTTCTTAAATGAAAGGAAGAAACAAAAACCTTACATATCCTTATACTAGTTAATCACAAAAAAACAAACAAGCCAGGTAGGCCAGATGGCCACTTCTCCTTTGTAATCTAGTGTTTTCAAAACTGGATTTTGGTCTTACTTGCTCAGGGTCTTAACCCCAGTGGCAGTCCTCTTTTCTCCTGACGTTTTGCTGGAACTTGTTTTTTCTTCACCATCCTTTTTGGAAAATTCTTTTTTGAACGGATCGCTTTTAACCTAGAAACATTGGATTTGTAACAGGTTAAGCCATTATTAATGTGCTACTTCGCACATGACCGACTGCAGCCTTAAATGTTCCTATATATTTAATAAAAACAACTTAATACAATAATTCTAAACAATATAACTAGGATTAATCATTTTAAGACAGCAATCATCTCCGTGCCCACAGGCCTTAAACAAAACCTTTATTTAAAAATGAAGTAGATAACATTTCAGTGACAAAGGCTTCCACAAATAATTTATGGCTTTAATGTCTTTTGAAGTACAAGAACAGGCATCCCAGTAAAGTACTTAGACTTAGGAATCTGCAAATTTTGTATAACCCATCATTTGTAAACAAATATACATAAAATAGGAGCAGATGTTGTATATGTATTTACTTTCTAAAAACCATTACAAAGCCCATACAATTAGGCCAAGAAAGGATAGTCAAACAAAAATTACCCTGTCAACAGAAATCTGCTGTCCGTGGAGCTCTGTACGGTCAAGGTGTGAAATACATCGGGCCACTTCTGCACTAGACGACATTGTGACTAACCCATAGCATTTAGATCCAGGACTGCGCGCATCAGTCACCACTTTAGCACTGAAGACCTAAACATTAGACAAACCCATTACTAAAGTGTTTTGTCATTTGCAAGATGAACTATAAACGGATGGCAAACATTCCCACCCTCCAAACCAGCTTACAAATCTAAAGAGCGCATTTTAATAGCTAATCTCTAAGTGTGGACTCACAGCAAGTGTCTAAACCTCTCATGTCACCCAGTTTTAAAAGTCCACCCAGTAGAAGACAATTGTTAATAAAAAAAAAGCTTGAAGAACACACACTCGCAGGCTATACCAAAAGTAGGCAACTCCAGTCCTCAAGTGTCCCGCACACGTTTTATAGACTCCTTTCAGATAAGTCAGGTGCTAACTGGAATACAGCTGAAACCGATTTCTTATCCATTTAAATTAAACCATTAAACTCAAGAAATGGGATTAAAAGCGTGATTGAAAAAATGAGAAACATGAGGACCAGAGCTGCCTGCCCCTAGTCTACACAAAGATTAAACTTAAAAACGCACTTCCACATCCACCGGGAGGTGCGAGTTGCACAAAGGATCTCAGATCACTTGAATCTCAGATGTGCTCTTTTTTCACAAAATTGTTTTGTATCTAAATGATCAGGTAGAGCAGGGGGTTCCCAACCTTTATCAGCTGAACCCCTCAACCTAAATTAGTTGCCTCAAGTACCCCCTTGAGATTTGAACGAAATAAAACCTTTCAATAAATGTAGATAAACGCTACAGCAACCCTCTAAACATGCTTCTTTTCACTTTGTAAAATCTTAACATTACTACTGTTGTTTTTCATATTCTTACATTGTTATTTATTAATAGGGATATTTAATTTGACCGACGTTTCCACCACAATCTCACAAACCCCCTGCAGTACCAACGTGGACCCCTAGGAGTTCGCAAAGCCCCGGTTGGGAGATTTAATCATGCCTACAAAGGGCAAAGGAGTTGGACTGAACATTGGTTGCAACCAAAATAACTGATCTCCACGTTGAACTGGTGGAAAAGTCAGGGTTTAAGAGTGGCTTGCGAGTTGTATAAACAGGTCCCAATTTATAGCTTTAGCTGCGCACCAGATATTAATTCAGACATAAATTCATACAAGACATTGTAAAAGTAGGCCACAAAACATTTTATTAAGTGACAAAACACAAACTGGATACAGCACACTGCCCTTCATACTGGAATACTGGAAATGAAAAACCCACTCTACCTTTCCGTATTTCCCAAACAGGTTCTTCAGGTCTGCTGCTTTCGTGTTGGACGACAAGCCGCTCACCCACAAGTTGCGGGTCGAGCTGCCAGTGCTCCCACCGCTGCCTCCTCCGCCGCCTGCACCGCCTAGATGCCACAGTCCTCTATCAGCGTTTGACAAAGACAGCTACACAGCCCAGCCCGATTAAAGGGGAACTGCATTCCAAATTTCTCAGACCGGTTATTAAAATCTCGGTAACAAAATAAAATATACAAATCTCAAACGAAGCCCAAAATTCGGGAGCTTTGTGAAAAGTACTGTAAGGTGCTGTGGCGTCACAAACCCTTGGCCATGGGCGAGACCAAGAGATCTCGAGAGCTGCGACGTGAAGTGGCCCTTCCTGCTCGCTAATCACCAATAACGAGTATAATGTGATGTACGAGCGACTAAGTACAGGCTGTGCAGCAGATATTTCCATCACGAGAAGTTTTAATGTGATCTGCATGCGCAGTTAACAAATGAGTTTCCTTTGTGGGCAAAACCATTTCAAAGTCGAGAGCAATATTTCCACTGGATAAGAAGAGATGTATTCAGAGGCCCGAATCTTTACAATGTAATAAGGCCGCCTTTATATTTTGTGATGTAAATTGGAGGTTTTTACACATTAGTGTGTACATTTTACTTTAATTAGGTTTGAAGAGCACTCCTCAATGCTGATTCTTTCTAACTCCGAAATACAAACATTGCATTGCAGTTCCCCCTTTAAAAACAGGACCACCCCTAAAGATAAAGACCTGTCTGATATTTCTAAAACCCTATTACACGATTGTCTCACCCAGGGCCTGCTGCCATGTTCGGTCTACTGTTTGGTACTACGTGTATTATCGAACGCCACATATTTCTAACATGAATGTGGCATGAATGTGAAACAGCCTTGTGCACGCAAGAGAAAAGAGAACCCAATTACTAGCTTTGAGATCTTTGACAACTACTACCATCATCACAAAGGGACCAAATATATGGATAAAGAAGGGAATTTATCCATCTGTAGGGAACATGTATCCATGCTTGACTTGTTTTAAACAGCTTTAGCTGTACAATTTGAAATTGAACAACTCTTTATCCAAAATAGTAAACCACATTAAGATACATCTTAAAGAAAAACTTTAAAGCCTCTGTATTTCTTAAATGTGGTAGTTACAAATTTTACAATTCAGCTTACAAACCAAGTTCAGGAAATTACAATTTACCTTTTTCATCCTTTGTCATCTTTCCATCTTTGTCTTTTGAAGAGCTACAACGCAAAACATTGCAACAGAAAGGAAAATGAATGACTGAACTACGTAAGCAAGGTGTAAATGAAAAAGACATCACCTTGTGATACAGAAGCTCTTGGTTTTGTGCCCTTACAAAATTCATCACAAATGACAAAGCTTGCACGTGAACAAAACTCCCAAAATGGCGGCTTTCATTGCTTTTCCACAGGTGGCTGACGGGACAGATTTTCTGCCAATTTTATTCTCTGGACAATTGCATTCTTCAGGAGTAGGACTTGACTTCATTGTGATTTTTTTTCAAAAGATCGAAAGACTTTGACATCTCAGGGACTATTTTACTCTTGTTAACAACTGATCATAGGAAAAGGCAATAAAAGTGATGGTAACTTGACTGTAAACAGACGCTTGCATCTCCTGGTTTCTGCCATAAATTACTTATGTTCAAAAAAAGTAACAAAAGGCGGGATTAGGAACATCAATACACTTTAAAAAATAAAAATCTTGAGGCTACCCACAATGCAGAGATCTGAGTGAATGCTGGAAACCAGTATCGTAAAGAACTGACATAGAAAGACAAACCTCTTTGCTTGACCTGATGCCCCAGTAGATGAGGGGCCTTTCTTCCCAGAATCCTTTTCTTTGTCTCCCAATTCTGCTTTCTTCGAGGCCTCTCTGCTTTCCTTCTTCGCAGGGTCAGCCTTCAATCCGTCGTCTTTCTTACCATCTTTATGGCTCTCTTTGACTTCATCTTTCTTGTCTTCCTCCTGGCTCATCTCGGCAGAGGCGTCCAGCTCGTCACAGCCCTTGCTTGCCTCTGAATCTGGAAGTTTCACATTTTTACCTGTATCCAGGAGGTCATCGCCATCAACATCCAAAGTGATGGCATCTTCAGCCTGGATTGTGACGGATATGTTATCATCCTCAGCTTCTTGAATGGATACAGCGGCTTCGCTTTCATTCCCCGCTGCTTGTTCAGCCTCTGCAAGGCTATCTTCAGAAGGGAGAAGTTTTGAATTTTCACGAGTACCATCATCAGTATCTGTTACATCTGAGGGATTTAACAAGGATAAACATGGCAAAACATAGGTTTAACATAACATTTACGTGCTAAGTGACCTAGAAAAAGTAGAATAGAAAGCACATTTAGTATTAGCGCTCACTGAAGATTAGAAAACCAAAGGTGTACAACAAACATACATTCCTCATCGAAAAATGGGTGTGATTCAAGTCTTCATGCCGTTCCTTTAAAAAACATCAATACTTTTATCGCATTCCAGAAACTGCTGTACAAGCAGTCCTTAGTTCTTCCTCGTGACAGTGTTCCTCCAATCCTTCATTGATCCATCCTCGTAGTCATTCGTCATTAAAAAAGAAATGGAAAAAGAGGAGAAAAAGAACAAAAGATTTCAGTTTGTTTTATTTCTGTCCTTTGCCATCATACCAACAAATGTGCATTTTCAAAAGAAAAGGCTCCAACTTAAGACCGTCTTTTTCCTTGGCTTCTATTTTGTTCCAGTCTTTGGCCACATTCCTCATCTTCTGCCACTGTTATTCAGAGATCCCATTTCAGAAATGGGGAGGAAAAAATACAACAAAAATAAAAATCCACAAACATCCTAGTCCAGGTCTTGAAAGCTGATGTCAATGGAAAGGGCTTTAATTTGGCAAACCACTCTGCGTCAAAGAAGCTTTTCTCCAATATCTTCACAGATGCATGTTCCTTGTCCCTTTGAGGTATGGGCAGTGCAAGTCAAGAGCGGATCTGAAGGTGGTCCAGCAGGAAAGAGTTCCAACTCTCCTCAGTCAAAGCAAAGACAAGGGCTCCCTTCCTCTTCCAGTCACAAGTTTTCATCTATGCAGTTCCATGGCTGAATGCAGAGAAAAGCGTCATGCAGGCACATCATCGCCTCCATCTGTGATGGGAAGGGGAAAAAAGTCCCTACAAAAAATCCCACATTTCAGCACGTCATGCCATGTTCAGTGTCGTTGATCCGAATGTGCAGTTTAAAAACAAAGATGCCTTGTTGCACTTATCGGTCTCCTCCAAGAGAAAGCCAATCCCAAATTCCTACTGGGAGAATTTCCATGTTTTTAGACTCCTTTTGAAATCCTTTGTGGGCCTGAAGCACTGTGATCTGAGTATTTCTCGTGAAGAAAGTAGGGGGGAAGAAAAGTGTTAAAAGGAACTGCAAGGAATGTCCCAACCTTCAGTTACAGTTGTTGCCTGTAAAACCCAAACCTGAGAATACACTCCAACAGGGGGGGGGGGAACAAACATACCTTTTTCGTTGTCTTCATCTTCAACCTCCTAAATAAAAGAGAATGGATGAGAATGTTTCTAATGTTTAAATATTTAAGGATGTCTTGAAATTCAGTTTTAAAAAAGAAAATATTTCAAAATCTGTTTAAATGCTTGGGTATCAAACCAAAATTTGCTAACATTAAAGGGAAATGCAGGAAACTCAGTTTAATGGACTAGCTGTGCAATCAATACCATGTAAAATGTGCCTGTGCCTTTTTTAAACAAATACACAAGCTCTTTATTTCATGAGCCATACATATACTGTATGATGTTCACTAATGCATATGAAACACACCCATCATACACTAATGACCTACCCCTATAGGGCACTATTGATATTGCTGAATTACAAAACTATTAAGTATTTTGTTTTTTTTTTGTATTCTACATACCTTTTCTTTACATATTGTTAACATTTTAATATATTTCTTTAAAATGTTTTTTTCAAAATTTTGAGGATGCATACAAGGCACAGCCCACTTCATAAGGAATTCACATACCCCAAAAAGGCTTACCAAAGTACTGGTATTCATACCCTTTAAACCTATATAAAAACCTATGTATGTCGTACAAAAGTTTTTGTTTTACTATTTTTGCATTTTACCGAGACCACTTACACATTCATCGCATTCTAGTTCTCCTTGTGGGAATACACATTGGTAGTACATTGGTTTTTCGTACATGAATAAAGTATTGCACTGTAATAAAATAGACTTTTATTCAATGTCTGTGATGAAATCTTTGTTCTGCATATGTACTTTAACAGTATTTTACATTAAACAGATTTTACAACGCATTTGTACTTTCATGTTTTCTATTTTTTTCTAGTTATAAGAATAAACCAAGCATGTCGGCTGAACTCACTACAGTTTTACATTATTGCGGGGAAAGTTCCATATTCTTGATTTTGCAAAACTCCCTTTAGCAGTTTGTCTGTTAAATCCAAAATCTATTAAGCGGAGAGTCAATTATGACCATTATAAGTAATCTTCTTTAACAGATATAATTCACCCTCACATCTAGTCAAAGCAAACAACCACTAACAGCCCTTTTACTCCTCTAGATTTTATGAGTGTGGTATAGCTATATCACAACTGGTTAAAAGGGTTATAAGAATATTGATTTAGTGAGCTCACACAAATGTAGAATAAACTGATTGTACCGGAACGCTGGACCAGTCAAGTTGATGTTGAAATTCTGGCAAAGGGATAATAGTGCCAACAGTTCTACCAACACCTGCTGATCATACCCTTGTCTGTGTGTAACTTGTGATATGCAAGATCCGACAAGATCAGTCCAATGTATTTGAAAGTTAAAAAAAAATTCAACAGTGATGATACGTACCTTGCAATAAGAATCTTCTTCCAGGTTTGCGTCCATGTCTGCATCCAGTTTTCTTCCTAAATGAAGAATTATATTCAGTGAACTTCACACACAAGTTTCTTGATTTCTAAAGTTAACAGATTCTCAAATTTAAATATTTTAATGTAGAAAGAAGAAGCCAGATGCGATTTCAACAACCACAACCATTTACCTTTTGACTTCGCATTCTTCCTTGTGGGGGTATCTGCGTTCAGTGGAATTTCGATATTATCGGAATCGCCACCTTCCTCTTCAATAGCCTGAAAAGTAAACATGACAATGATTCAGTACGAATAAATTGCACCCTCTCACAAATACCTGCAGAACACTACCAAATCACAATGCAACCCTTTAAAAAAAGGATTTTCAAGGAACAGGCAAAAGGGGGTCTCCTTATTGCAAATGCCGGGCAACAAAGTTTATTTATTTTAACCCCTTTGACCTCCGTGATAACGAGTAACAACTGCAGGACACCACCTCAAAACAGCCAAGGCACCAGCATACACAGAGGATACTGAGAAGAGATTAAGCCAAGCTGGCAGCAACAACTCACACCAATAAGACCAGTCTTTCCCTAAAAACCAAACCTCATAATAAATCTCCAGTTTCAAATACGCAAATCAAAATAATGTCTCCATTGTTGAACAACACAAGACACTTGATTTCTGTAACATCAAGTAACTGCATGCTGTACCTTCGCCAGTCCTTTAGGAATGACACCCCCATTTTCTTCTTTTACCACAATCTGGGACAGGGACGACATTCACTGCTGCGTCATACATACCAACACAGAACACCTAAAGGTGAATATCTGGCTTTAAATAACGCATCTGCAGTTATGTAGGACTATGGACGCCGAGAGTCCTGGGATCCTTATTGCAAAACCCGGGTTCGACTTCCCTAAGCGTGCTTGACTCAAATCGCTCCAGAATAGCTGTATACCCTCCACACCGTCATTATAAAGGACCTCGCCATTTCTTTACCTGGTTGATTAGGAAAAAAAACACTACCGAGTGTAAACGAAGCTATGTAGAAGTCGACCGTATAACAAAAAGGGGCGTTCATTAAAACGAACTTGTACCTCGGCTCAATTTGCACCCCAGCATCCAATCAAACCTGGCTAGATGAGATAACCGGGCGTTTGTCTTCTTACTTAGGTTTTTCCAAAATTTAAGAAAGCCACACATTATCCGAAGGAAAAGGGGAATGTTTTTATCAATATTATTGATCTCACTTGAAAACGACTATTAATTCATTCGCGCCTACCACTTACAGGTCTATTCTATAGTAATAAAACAGCCAATTTTTGCGCATATGAAGAATACACAAAGCTTTCTTATTGTCGTTCAATAGAGTATGACCGTATCGTTTTTATTATTTGCAAAACTCCACCGTGTTTCTATATCTACAGAAATTGGAAAGCGAAAGTGACAAACATCCACACACTTGATATCCAGCAACTAAGTATGCATGGTGGGAGGGGAAAACAAGGCCTTCTCTGCAGAAAAAAACACAACAAGATTTTAAGGCCGCTGATAATACAGGCTTACCTGCTTCAGCCTTGCAATTAAGACGTTCTTTACTCCCGTGATGTCCAAATTCCTCCGCTTTAACTCGGTTTTAAGGTCTATGACCCGTAATTCTGTGATTTTCTTAATCTCAGTGGCCACGGCTGCCGACGCCATTTTGCCAAACTGAATGAGAAAGGAAGGTGTTTATGGTTATGGAAACACCGCCAGTTCCCGGATGTTGACGACGCGTACAACGTGATGACGTAAGTATTTTTTTTCTGTAGGATTTGGTTAGAATTTCAGAAATGAATTTTGTCAACGTATTATTCCACTTTTGACCTCTGAAATCCGTGTTCACACAGTATATTAGAGAAAAGAAGGAAGAAAATAAATTAGGCAGTTTTGCGATTTATAATTAATAAAATGTATAGGTATGTTATGCTAGAAAATAGACCAACCTCATTCTTCGGATTATATAGACGTTTACTTTTAAAATAATTAAACATTATTAAATCGGATCTTAGAAAATCGTGAGACAAAAAAGTTTAAAAATAATAAGATTATTTAGAACGACTAAAATATGTGTAATGTTTTTTTTTAAATAACAAAGCATCCAAATTGGAATAAGGTATTTCTAACATTTTGATAATTTGGTTACTACGTACTGAGGATATTCTAGCTTTTCTGGAGCACCCCTGTAAATCAGGTCCTATACTGTGACAGCGTGCACATCCCCAGCTCTTTGTCTAAAGATCTGTCACCTGTTTTCACGTCGAAATTCACTTATTCATACTGTACACTTGTGGTCTCCCCAATGCTTTTAATATTAAATATTAAAGAACATGCCTAACCAGAGCTGAATTAACTTGCTTGCAACATTAAATAAAGATAATCGGATGTGTCGCTTCTGTATCTCTATCATAAAGCAGTGTATTAATTCTTCGCATTCACAATTATATAATGCACAGTGGACAATTATTTTGGATATTTTAGTCAAAGATTTTAAAATCTGTGAAGACAATTTCCATTACAGTTTGCTTTTAAAGCCTTTTTTCCGTCGACATTAGCATATTTCTGTACCAACATGTGTGGGCTTTTGGAATTGCGAAAACAAGTGGAAATTCTTATTACAGAGATATCGAAATGAAAGAGGCTTATGAAAGAAAGGTCACCTTTTGGTATATCGTGCTTTTTGGGTTATCAGCTTACACATACAAGATGTCCTAGTCCTAGTGGTCCAGCTTCGACAACGTGATTAGACAGATTTTCCAAATGTGAACTGTCTTTTTACAAAATCTATTCAAAAATGTGATTGTTGCTTTACGAAAATGTCACCAAATAAAATGATATATGTAAATTATATAATTAAGAAAATGTAGTTATTTCGGACGTAAATTTAATCTACCTACAAAAAATATTCAAGAAGTCCATATTCAGTATATAATACCAGTTTTCTATTTACATACAATCGTGTCGCTTATCTTACATTTGCATAGGTTCTAGTACAAAACACTTGCCACAAACGACCACTAGTGGGCACAGCGCCTCATGTTTCGAAGACCCCTTGCCCAGGAAAGGGCATGCCGTAAACAGCCTCTACAGTGTCGAAAAGTGTCGTGAAGCGTCCCTCGCTGAAGCGAGGCTCCGGGGGATTGTGCAGAAAACAGATCAGGCAAGCGCAGCTACGAAGAGGAGCTCGCCTGAATAAACAACAGCCCAAGCGAGGCAGGAATGACTGCTTTATCGAGGGCCCAAATGGCAAAAGGAAAGGTTTTCCGCCTTTCTCGAAACCTTAAATGAATCCCGGCCTCAGTTGATAGCCGGGGACTGGGCGGTTGAAGGAGAAAAAAGGCGAATTTAACTAGATCTCCCCCAGTTACAGTATCGGGGCCTTTGGGGCTGTTGTTGGGTTTGTGTTATCACTTTCACAACCAGGCGCTGCTGACGTCCGAGGGTTTCTCTACGCTATTTTATTTTCAGTGGGCTGCCCTCATTTTCAGGTCCTCGCTGAAGGTTTTCGTCAGAAACGGAATCCGTTGGAGAGCAGTGTCGAGTTTGGGGCCTGTTGGCGTGAAAGGTACGTTTTTATTTCTCCTTAACGTTCAGTAGTGGCAGTACTTGATCAGTACGGCGAGCTATTTCGGATCAGAGTGCTAATTCAAATGGCTTCTGACTTCGCCTGGGGAAATGGAGAAGGGGGTGGGTGGGTATACGACTATTGAATAAACCGGATTCAGAATTAAACTCGTCTGAAAAGGAGAACCAGCGAGTTGAATTCCTGACTTGTGCCCTTTTATCGCCTTTTTTTGTGTGATAGTTTTAATTTAGAGTATTTTCATACGCAGTGCCCCTGCCCCCCTCCTTTTTCGGTTCGGGCTATTGACAGTGACAGATGGGAAATCTTGGGTAAGGCAGAACGTAGGTTTTTGTTGTGATGTGCTCGATGTTGCGTTGATAAATTGTTCACTTAGGCATGGTCGTTGAGCTTTAGACAATCATTTGGATGTTAAATGCTAATATACAATTGATTGCATTAATCCAAGCGAAATGTTTGTACACGGAGTTAGCTGGTCCGAGCTCGCTCTGGACATGTCCTGCCCCTTGCAACCCAGTTATTGTTCCTTTCTCCTTTAAGAGAGTAATACAGACAGTTAAAAATCCAGCGAGAAAAATGTCCCCACTTCTATAAGACAGTTTCGAATGTCATCTATAGTCTTGGCATTGTAAACTGCTCGGTGTGGAAAGCGTAGACACTAGCGTGTCCCATCGTGATATTTTAAAGAAATCGCCCTGCTCAATCTTCCCTTTTCGTTTCCACTTCTTCGTTCTAAAGCTAGTATTGAATTGTCTTTCCTTCAGCTTCGGCTATTGATCCTAAGTAATAGTCATATAACAATGGAAGAAAGCGCATGATCAAATACCGAAGTTTTAAAGAGGTGCAGAGCACGTTAACCTTCATTTTATCTCGTACAGTTCACGCCGAGATGTACTTGGTGCAGATCTGAAGCTTTTTATATTCGGCGCAATGTTTGTTTGTTTTTTTTAATGTGATTTGTGAAGAAAGTACCAAGTGAATCTTAGAACCGCCTGCATATCCACTGGGTGTGTGACTCTGAAGCCATTTCCTCTAAAAGAAATCGAGTAATACATTTTTTGTTCCGTTTCTCAACGTGAACATCTATGTTCTATCCCGTAGGAGAACTAAGTATAAAGTATACACCCATAAGGTACAAACAGACAGCGGCTGGCGGTGACTGGCTGCTCTGGGGAGCAGTGTGTGCAAGCTGGGACACACAGATACCCCAGGGCTTTCATTTTAACCACTTAGAAGCAAAGGTTTACGGCCAAAACTTGAAAAGTTTGTTTTCTCTTGTGTAACCTTTGCCTGTTAAGACCCCACTTTTCACATATTTGAAAAATTGCCCGGGAACCATACCTAGCAGAACAAATGTTGAGAATATATTCAGAGTATATAGGCCCTTACTTACATTTTGATCTTCCAGACTTAGTTTTAGTTTAATTATGATACAGATAGCTCTTTTATAAGTGAGCAATGACACAGTTGTTACGTTTTCTGTCATAGAGCAACCTTTTTCCAAATAATGTCTTCAGGGGCCCTGGATTCTTGCTTGTGTCATATGTGTGATGCTTTATTTTCTATTTTTAAACAGTTCAGTATTTTAATGTGGTCACTGGTATACCTATAGCTGTATCCAAGATTAGCACCTCTAGTTTATCTTGATGTATGTCAACAGTGCCTCTTCTATTTTAGAAACTTTAAATGTGGTTAGATAACACTCCTAGCAAAACAGGCTAAAGATGTCATCATGCATCACTATATTTAGCAAGGTGGAAAACGCAGAGAAAGAGAAAGTAGAGGGTGTATTATAATTTGTATCGTAACAGGTTCTGCATGTTCTTGCTTTGTGGCACCATTCACACTGGACGCTAACATTGGTGTTCACCAGAACCAGTGCCAGTTTCTCTCTTTGTACTGCTGTCTGGTGAAGGTGAAAAACATTACTAACACAAGGATTGCACTCTACCTGTTTACACACACTGCCAAAGCACCCTTCATAGCCTGTATGGAACCATAGGTGGTTTGTATCAAATATTTGTGCACTTGTCACAATAGGAGTTGGTGTTTGTTCTTGGTGTCACCTCCGTTGCAAAGCTTGGTCCAGCTAGAAGACACCATAAGGCAGGTCTGTGTACCTTGTGGTTTGAGGATCCCAGCTGTGTTAGAATTGAATTAATGGAAGAATGTAAAGAATATGAAATCAACAGCTTTGTAATTGGGGAAACTGGTGTTTATCTTATACAATGTCCATTTATCGATACTGTAAGCCGGATTTCATTAGTCAATTATGAATACACTAAATGGCATCATTAAGAGGAAGCCTATTTAGGATGAAGATCACCATTTGTTTATTATCTTGACCCTGAATTTCAGCATAAGTGAGTTAAGGCATGTGCTGAGTTTCTGTCCTCGTCAGTACTTGGTTTTTCATTCTGGATCATTCTGGCAAGTCTCTTTACCACGCACATGTGAGCTCGCTGCAGTTGTGACTTGCGATATTTCTGCACACACAAAAAGTTCTTAGTCTTGCCAGGATCCCGAGTCTGAAAATGAATGGAGTGGTCTTGGCTCTTGCATTGTCAGTGCATAACTCATAGCTTCATTGCTGCCCTCTGTGGAATCCTAAACTTTAAATGTTTGGACGTTATGAAACACTTCAAAATTAAGGCCTGAGATTTGACGTGGGGGCAGTGATCGGTTGTATAGATTTTTCAGAGTAAGCCCCCACATGGAGCAGTATAGTGAGTTTCTGAAAAGTTAACAAGTTTGATTTCACTTTTGGAAAGAGACCAGGGGTGTGACAGATTTCTCCTACCTGTGCCCAAAACTGCTGAATTTATTAAATCTGCACACTTTATCTCGGTTTGGAATAGATTGTGTTTAAGGGAGTTTTTTTTATGTAATTGGTCTCCCGGAGTACTTTGGAGCTGGTGCCAGTGTGGTTTTTCTTATCAGAAAAACCTTTAAATTGCAAACAGGATTAACTTTTTCTATTCCGAAACTTTTTACAGGCTAACATGTAAAACTATAAACAAGATATGATTAACTTTTCTGTTAGCTTCTTCATCAAGAACCTGTTATTTGTTTAAGTCTCTAGAACGTAGGCCTGTATCTAAAGCAAATCTCTGTCACAGTGGGTTGAGTCCATCTCATTGTTCATTGTGCAACAGATTTTGTTGGTCATGAAATTATTCCTGATTCTGAATTGTATGGATTGTATTGTTTGCAGCACATATTTGTAAGAAAGCAATCTTATGGATTTGAATATGAAAGATTGTCCTTTACTAATATTAATGGTGGACCTCCATGAACAGCTAAGGGTACTATAAGCAGATTGGTAGTTTGAATTATATTTATGTTGCCTTTGTGGGTTGAGAGGAAAGGATCAAAGCAAGATTTATAAATAATTAATAGAAAGTTTGGATGCGCATCTTGCAAATTAAACCTATCTTTAGTTGTGCAATGCAAAGACTGTTTTGTGTTTGCTCTTTTTAATTGTTAAATATTTAACCCACAGATGTGATTACTGGGCGACTGTGGAACCACATATGGATGTCAGTGTTTCTTAACCCCTGTTAAGATCTTTCACCTCTTGTTGAAAGTATAGGTTTACTGTGGTTTGTGTGGAATAGAAGAAAAGCCTGTCTTTTTTTCCCCTTCAAAACTAAGTCACAGACTGCTGTAAGATGCAGGTCTGATGGCATGTGACATTGGCATTATTTCTGGCCATGACTTTGCCTTGCCAAGCAGAAATCAGATTGGCATGGCTATCATTGCAGTGACTTGTACTCTCTACTCTCCCTGATCTGTGTTTCTGTATTCACTCCTATTTTTCGTGCTGTCATTCTTTCACAATTACGCGCCCTCTGTTTTCTCTTGATGATAATTGGCTTTCTCATGAGTGCTAATAAAATCTTGGAAAAGAAACAGCCTATACTGCTTTCATGCCAGAGAAGCTATTAGGACTGATGATTTAATGCCGAGTATAATAATATGGGTGTTATTCTTGCCTTTGCTGAGGACGTTGCTGGGTGCTTAGCTGCAAGGGTGTGAGATTTGAACATTACTCTTCGCTTTTCATGCAGAATCTAACACCCAATAAATTTTAATTTCAGACCCATGTCAGCAAATAGGGACTGTGGAGGCCAGCTGTTCTTTTTTTTCCTCCAAGAGCTTTTTTTTTAAATTTAGCCATGTTTGCTTTCCTATCTATTGGCAGCATGCTTTCGTGGTTGTGATGTGCAACTGCTGCTTTTCTAGAAAGACAGGTACCCTCCCCTGCCAGTCAAGAGTGGGCGAGAATGCGTACTGACGTTTTGGAAGGGCTGAAAGAAATCAACCCTCTTATTCTGGAGCAGAGAAGGTGACAGGGGGACAAAGTCTGCAGAATCCTCAAAGGCATTGATGAGCTCAAACTGGCAGTCATTCTGAGAATTGGTACTACAACACAAACCAGAAGACACAGATGGAAATTACAGGCAAGGGTCTTTAAAACTGAGAACGCAAGGTACTTCATTGTGCAAGGAGGAGTGCTGGGAGTGTGGAATAAGCTACCCCACTGTGTATTGAAGCCAGTACCCTGGTCATTTTGAGAAACGGATGGGGATCCTTGAGTCAGACAGCTGCTTATGTCCAAACAGGATGGACGGGGTGAATGGGCTCTTCTTGAATGGCCTCTTTCTGTAAAGATTCCCAGCCAGAAATCCAGCATCTTGGAGAACTTGTGTGAGGAAGAGGAGGCATTAAAGCTTTTCATGTTAAATGGACATTTTCAGGATATTGCATCCTTGTAGGGGGGACAAAACTGTAAATGAACTATAACGCTTTGCTTAATTACAGCAAACCCAATAGTAGCCACCTGAATGTTTTCTAGAATTGGTTTTGATACGATTTTTTTTTCTTCTTTCGGTGTTACGATTTATTCGTTTCATTGCAGATAAAAGGTATAAACTAGAGGTTAAATTCTGAGTGTGGTGTGGAGGGTCAGGATGAAATCT